ACCTAAATCAAATCCCTTACAATTACAGTCTAGAAGTGAAGCTAAAGTCACTCAGTCGTGTCCAACTCTTTGCAACCCCGGACTATACAGTCCATGGAATTCGAAGTGACAAATAGATACAAGGGATTAGATTGATAGACAGAGTGCCTGAAGAACTATGGATGGAAGTTTGTGATATTGTACAAGAGGCAGTGATCAAAACCATCCCCAAGAAAAAGAAATGCAATAGGTAAAATGGTTGTCTGACGAGGCCTTACAAATAGCAGAGAAAAGAAGAGAAGCTGGAGGCAAAGGAGAAAAGGAAAGATATAAGAATGCAGAGTTCCAAGGAATAGCAAGAGGAGATAAGAAAGCCTTCCTCAGGGATCAATGCAAGAAATAGTGGAAAACAATAGAATGGGAAATACTAGAGATCTCTTCAAGAAAATTAGAGATATCAAGGGAATATTTCATGCAAAGATGGGCACAATAAAGGACAGAAATGGTATGGACCTAACAGAAGCAGAAGATATTAAGAAGAGGTGGCAAGAATACACAGAACTATACAAAAAAGATCTTAATGACCAGATAATCATGATGGTGTGATCACTCACCTAGAGCCAGACATTCTGGAAAGCGAAGTCAAGTGGGCCTTAGAAAGCATCACTATGAACAAAGCGAGTGGAGGAGATGGAATTCCAGTTCAGCAATTTCAAATCCTAAAAGATGACGTGTGAAGGTGCTCAATATGTCAGCAAATTTGGAAAACTCAGCAGTGACCACAGGACTGGAAAAGGTCAGTTTTCATTCCAATCCCAAAGAAAGGTAATGCCAAAGAATGTTCAAACTCTTGCACAATTGTACTCATCTCACACGCTAGCGAAGTAATGCTCAAAATTCTCCAAGCCAGGCTTCAACAATACATGAAACAAGAACTTCCAGATGTCAAGCTGGATTTAGAAAAGGCAGAGAAACCAGACATCAAATTGCCAACATCTACAGGATCACAGAAAAAGCAAGGGAGTTCCAGAAAAACATTTACTTCTGCTTTATTGATTATGCTAAAGCTTTTGACTGTGTGGATCACAATAAACTGTGGAAAATTCTTTAAGAGATAGAAACACCACTTGACCTGCCTCTTGAGAAATCTCTATGCAGGTCAGGAAGCAACAGTTAGAACTGGACATGGAAAAACAGACTGGTTCCAAATTGGGAAAGGAGTATGTCAGTACTGTATATTGTCAACCTGCTTATTTAACTTACATGCAGAGTACATCATGAGAAATGCTGGGCTGGATGAAGCACAAGCTGGAATCAAGATTACTGGGAGAAATATCAATAACCTCAGATATGCAGATGATAGCACTCTTACGGCAGAAAGTGAAGAGGAACTAAAGAGCCGCTTGATGAAAGTGAAAGAGGAGATTGAAAAAGCTGGCGTAAAACTCAACATTCAGCAAACAAAGATCATGGCATATGGTCCTATCACTTCATGGCAAATAGATAGGGAAACAATGGAAACAAGGACAGACTTTATTTTCTTAGGCTCCAAAATCACTGCAGATGGCGACTGCAGCCAAGAAATTAAGACACTTGCCCTTTGGAAGAGAAGCTATAACAAATCTAGACAGCGTTATTAGAAAGCAGAGACATTACTTTGCCAACAAAGGACCGTCTAGTCAAAGCTACGGTTTTTGCAGTAGTTATGTATGGATGTGAGAGGTGGATCATGAAGAAAGCTGAGCACTGAAGAATTGATGTTTTTGAACTGTGGTGCTGGAGAAGACTCTTGAGAGTCCCTTGGACTGAAAGGAGATCAAACCAGTCAATCCTGAAGGAAATCAGTCCTAAATATTCATTGGAAGGACTGATGCTGAAGCTCCAAAACTTTGGCCACTGATGCGAAGAACTGACTCATTGGAAAAGACCCTGATGCTGGGAAAGATTGAAGGCAGGAGGAGAAGGGGATGACAGAGGATGAGATGGTTGGATGACATCACCAACTCAACAGACATGAGTCTAAGCAAGCTCTGGGAAGCCTAGCATGCTACAGTCCATGGCAGTCACAAAGAGCTGAGTGACTAACAACTAAACTGAGCAACTAAACTAAACTGAACTGATAAAAATTAGTGAATTATTAAATAATTAATAATAAAGATTCCCCTCTGTAGTGATATCCACACCAACTGGAGGTAGCATGTGGATCTTCTGGGTTATCTCTATGGGACTTGGCAACAAGGGCAATCAAGTGCATGCTTGTGTGCTAAGTCATTTCAATCCTGTCTGACTCTGGAAGGCTATGGAATTTTAGCCCACCAGGCTCCTCTGTCCATGGGATTTCCCAGGCAAGAACACTGCAGTGGTTGCCATGCCTTCCTCTAGGGGATCTTCCAGACCCAGGGATGGAACCCAAAGCAGTCTCCTGAGGCTCCTGCATTGAAGGCAGATTTTATACCACTGAGCCACCAGGGGAGCCCCAGGGAAATCAAGAGAAATGCGCTAATGCTCACACTGCTTGCTGTGATATGAGTGAGAAAGCCCTTTATCTCTGACAAAGGAGTCTTGGATTTTCTCCCAGTATCCATGAAACAGTAAGAGGCTCGTTTATTAGATTTAAGTAGGGTAAAATCAAATCCAAGATCTGAAAGGATTCCCTGACTTGATTTCTACATTATAAAGAGCACATTTAATTTCCCCTCAAATGATGCAAAATAATTAGAAAACTTTTAAGCTGAAATCCCAATGACTCTTAGCTTTCATGTTATAGTTATCTAGACTTTTATTTCTGCCATGCTATTAGCCTTTCCCAAATCGATATTATGCATAAATATTTAACAGTCATTGTTTAACTAGATTTCAAACTTGTGAAGATTAGATGAGTGCTAGAAGAGGGTGAGAGCATTGCTTGGTGCACAGTAAGCACTTAAATTATGTTTACAGTATTATTTTTTTAATGATACTGTTTTTTGCTTGCCTCTTCTCATATACCACATTCTTGCAGAGTTTAATTATTCTGATTAACTAAGATAAACTATTTTTCCATATGTGATTTTTTCATTCTACCTATGTTCAAGAATATTTATCTAAGGATTTTATTAGACTGTCTTTATAATTTCATACATATTTTGTATATTGCTCAGTTGTGTCCAACTCTGTGGCTGCATAGACTATAGCTCGCCAGGCTCCTCTGTTCATGGAATTTCCCAGGCCATTCCCTCCTCCAGGGGATCTTTCCAACCCAGGGATCAAACCCATGTCTCTTACATCTCCTGCACTGGCAGGGGGATTCTTTACCACTAGCGCCACCTGTACAACTAAATTAATATAGTTTTCTGTTTTAGCCACAAGTGGTTAGTGGTGCTTTCAAGGGAATTTTTTGAAAAGAAATCCCTTTTAAAAAGTCTACATGTCATGTCATGTCATGTCAATGTATGACAAAAACCACTACAATATTGTAAAGTAATTAGCCTCCAACTAATAAAAATAAATGAAAAAAAATCCACATATTAATGGAAAAAAAAAATAAACGAGCACAGAGCAAATAAGGAAAAAAAAAGTCTACAGTTTATTTTTTTCCCTCATAAATCTAACACCATTACTAATTAGGCAATCAGTTCCTCTGTAATTTCTTCAATTCCAGCCATAAGATTTAATCTAGTATTGTCTTGTAATATATATCACATTTATAATGTGAAGCAAGAAAGGCAGAGTTATATAAAAACAAATACTTAATATGATAATATATATTTATATTGGTTAATTTTTTAATAGTTTTTCATCTACATACATAATTGTAGGGTTTGATCTTATTTTATTTGTTTTATAATATGTGTATATTACTTTGGAGCCCTCATTGAATAAGCCATGAACTCCACTAAAAGGTATTTCTCCACAGGCCTAGAAGCAAATCCCACTGGATATTAAGGATGGTTACTTTAGGCCTGATGACCACACCACAGAGTCACAGGACAACACACAGAGCAACAAGCTAGAATTAGCACACTTATGTCTTGTCTTTGTTCTTCCCTTGAAAGATGAACCACACTAGGGACAGAGGGTTGTCCAATGATATGTTAAAATTTTATGTCCTGGGATTTAGTTTTATTACCTTCTCAAACACTAAATTTCTTATCTATGAAATGATGAAATTACTTGCTTCATACACCTTACATATTTGATTTGAGTATCAAATGAAATGTTTATGAAAGTATTTTTAAACTTCAAATCACCCTGGAAGTATTTATACTGTTCAAGTGTTAACCCTTTAACTGCATTTATAGTGTTAATATAAACATTTCACTCCTAATCTTACCATAAACATACTGTTTTCTGGATATAAGCCTTAAAAGGAAAGGTATTCTTTGACTCTGTGAACAGAACTCAGTTCCCCATTTCAGTATGATCAGGAAACAAAGAAGGTTAAGATGGAATAATGAGATCTCTAACTCAGAAAGGATTTGTTTTTCAGTTTTACAAAAACCTATGACATTGTACTCTAACTGCCTTTTAAAAGAGGTTTGACTCCATGCCACAAGTTACATGTGAGTAACAGGCTAAGCTACACTCTGACTAACAAGAGTCAGCTCTGACTTTTGGTTTGATATGGAACCTGAGAAGCTAATGAAGTAAGCCAAAATCTGGCAAAGCTTCCAAGTAATATCTCAAGCAAAACACAGAAGCAGCTATTAATACTTAAGAATTCACTAGGTTCCAATTTCCTACTTCTTGAAAAACAAGCCTGAATATCATAAAATCCAAGTGAAAACTGCTGACAGCACAATTTAATACAACATTCCACTAACAGGTTTTTCAATTAATTTGATAGTATCAAGAAAAACAAGATACTTCCCTTTACTAAGTGAAGACATGGTACGTAACCATATAAACTTTATAATAAAAGTTTATGGTTGTTTAGATAGATGGACTTCTTATGACAACAAAACTTTAAAAACAGTTTTATTCTGTTGTGTTGCCAATTTCTTTTTTCTAACATCATTTCTATTAATGCACCAAGTACTTACATCTGGAATAAATCCAATCTCATTGAGATGATTGCTTAGCTCTGGATCATGAAATGCAATCATCTGAGAGAACACAGTCAGATACTCTGAAATGACAATCAAGTTTAAAACAATCATTGCTTTTACATAGTACATCAAATAAAGACATTAAATGCACATAAATTACAGTTTTATTTACACTTTGAATTAGATTTAGTTTTCCACGAAGAAAACCCACTATATTAAATAATTTCCTGTTTTGTTACTATTTCAATCACTTATGGCTAATTATTAAACAAGAAAAGCTTTTTGTTAAAAGCTATGTCACAACTTATTTTCTACCTTTAGAGCTGTCAGTTCATTTCCTGAATCACAAATTATTCAAATGATGAATGACTTTTTCCGTATTAAATTCAACAAATTATTTTCTCTAGTGATATTAAACCTGTCTCACATTTATCATTTTTTCAGAAACTGTAAACAGATACTGAAATAAGGAATAACACTGTCACATACAGAATAATTACACCTCAAATTTATTTACATATACAGACATAGAAATTTGTTCCAGTAAAGTGAAGATCCAGGACACATCCCAAGGGAGAACTTCTGGATTTAACTTTTAACTTCATTTTTCTCTTTCCAGCTAGGGATGGTATGTTTACAGTCCCAATTTACCTAGAAGCCAGAGGTATGCTACATCAACAATCATACGCATTCAACTTTATGTTGATGAAAGCATATGATTATTAACTTTTATTAATAAAATGGAGGAAGAATGACAACTCACTCCAGTATTCTTTCCTGGAGAATCCTATGGACAGAGGAGCCTGGCAGGCCATGGACCATATGGTCTCAGAGAGTCGGACACGACAGAAGCGACTAAGTATGCATGCACGCTTCATTTTAAACCAGAAAGTCACACCTCAGGCAATTCTCCACAGCTATGGTCCAGTTTATTAAATGTCTCTCTTATCTGAGCCTGATAGAAGATAATTACTATGGTGGATTACATGGCTAATTAAGAATCTACTGAAGAAACCTAATCCATCATGAAAACATTTTCCTTGTGTTCTGCCTAACACTGATGGCTGGATTTATATATGTATTATAACTGCACATATGTTGCTGTTGTTCAGTCGCCACATTGTGTTCAACTCTTCATGACCCCATGAACTACAGCATGCCAGGCTTCCCTGTTCCTCACCATCTTCTGGAGTTTGCTCAAGTTCATGTCCAAAAAAAATATATATATATATACACACAAACATATATATGTGTATATATAATACACACAAAAATAGGTAGATATAATTATTTTGCATATTATTATATGCCATATATTATTTCATATATGTAAATATACATTATAAGGCTGGCATAAGTTTTGGTTGCTCAGGATATGCTTTAGAATGAGATACAGTATGGCTTGTTACATTCAGAAGAATTTCTTTAAAGGAAAAGATATGGCAGAACTGATGATACCAGCACTGTCACATCAGCACTATGCCAAATTTCAAGTTATTTCAAAAAATGTATTTAACAGTTCCTTAGGAAAAACGAAACAAATTGAAATGCATATGTCTTTTTATTTGTAAACCAATCTAAGAGAATTTAAGAGAAGCTACTGAAAAACAAACTGGTAATAAAATTAAAACAATAGATTCCATAGATTCACTACTGAATCTTTCAAAATGTTCATAAAATAATTTTGGTTTATAATAATGAAAATTTCCATCAAGAGATAAAATATCTCCCAAAATAGTATTTTCTGATAGGTGACCTATGTAGGTGAGCGTGTGTGTGTTCAGTTACTCAGTTGCGTCTGAATCTTTGTGACCCCACGAACTGCAGCCTGCAAGGCTCCTCTGTCCATGGAATTTTCCAGGCAAGAATACTGTAGTAGATTGCCATTTTCTACTCCATGGGATCTTCCTGACCTAAGGACTGAATCCATGTCTTCTAATATTCCTGCAATGGCAGGCAGATTCTTTAACACTGCACCATCTGGGGTAAAAGTCATTTAAAAAAAAAGAATCAAGATATTTATGAAATTTCCACTTAAATTTCAAGCGAGGTTTAATGGTGTTCTTTTCCACACAATCACGTCTCATCAATTTTCTGTTTTAACTAAGCTTTGTATTTCTAAAAATTTCTGCAATGAAATATAAAATGAATACTCTTTCTCCCTTCTAATAAGATCATATTAAAATTCTTATTCCTCTCCTACATCATAGCTTTTTTATTACATACTTTGAAAATTTTATTATTATTGGTCATACTACATTTTTATTAATTCCTAGTAGGCTTGTTCCATGGCACACTTTTTGTTAGCAATGCTAATTGTGACAGAGACAAACAGCTGGACTTTTATTTTCTTAAACTGGCATACCTGAATTTGAACCAAACTCAGATTAGATATTAAACAATTATTAGAAAAACACCATAATTTTGTGGACTTGGAGGAAAGATTAAACTTAATTATTTCTTCATGTGTTTTAGTGATAAACTGTCACCATATTTTGTTGAGTCAAAACCATAAATTTAACTGAGTACTGATCACGTTTGATATAATAACTTTCCCTATAAAAAGGCAAAGAAACATTTCCTTACCTTGTATTACATGTGAGTTGTCTTTCAAGAAGAAGTTGTACAGGTATTTGGGGATAAAAGCAGACATACAGGCATAAGCCAGAGCTAAGAAAGAGTAAGGCAAATATAAAAAATTAGTTAATGAGGTAAAAGATCAGCAGTCATTCACTCACTCAGCACACATTCCTTGAATCTATTTTTAAATAGGAATTACTTAATAACTGATGGAAGCACAAAATTATATGGGGGAAACACTACAGAAAATATTGTGCACAACAAGAGATAACCACTCCAGCAACTTTTCAATTTCAAACTACTGTAGCAGCAGCAAAAAGAAAAAGCAATAACCAAACAACCAAAAAAACAAAAAATACTGAAGAAATCATTATCCTACAAGAATAAAATTCTTTATTATCAGAACTTTATGCATTTTAAAATCTATAAACATAATAATCATTATTGTGCTATATAAACTTCAATATCCATAATTTTTACTGATGCATAGAAAAGAGTCTGAGAACATTGGATTTAAAAACACTAGTAATAATTGTTCTTTCAAATACAGATCCTTTGCCATTCTTAGATCAATATGTATCATAATGAACTATGCTTAACTAAACACAGCAAGGCCTCTTGTCTAGATTAAAAAGTAATATTAGAGAACTGGCATTTTTAAAAAGCATTCACTTAGTGAAGTTTTAGTTCTCTGGGATTATGCTACCAGTACTCAATTCCACGAATCTATGCAAATTCTGATATGAAACAGAATTTGAAGAGATGGAGATTCTGAGATTAAAGTTTCTAAGGATTCATGCTATGGGATATTCATAATAAATATTTAAAAATTTATCAAAAGACCTACTATAAAAAAGGAATTATATCAGGGGACAGAAAAAACAAAACAAAAACCCTTGTCATTAAGAAAAAAGCCACTAACCAAAAGAAGGGTTACTGTATTAGTATATTGCTGTTGTCCAGTTGCCAAGTTGTGTCCAACTCCTTGTGACCCCATGGAATGAAGCATGCCAGGCTTCCCTGTGCTTCACTATATATTTAAATTAGTATATAAATAACTGTGATATGAAACATACAGAAGACAAATTTCTGGAAATACAAATCTCAAGAGGGTTCAGTCTTCATTAAGGAAGTAGTGGTTTAAAAAAAAAGGAAGTAGTAGGTGAAAAAAAAGACTCTGGAGGATGCAAGATCAATACTGTTTTCCTTACAAATCATTTACAAAGTATATATAAATGAAGACTAATCTCTAAAAAAGTCTTCTTTGGAGGACAGAATTTTCTTCAAAGTTTCATAAAAATAGTCACCAAAGTAGATGAATGCATTTATAATAATCCATCAGGTTCTCTCTAAATCTCTAGTTACAGCTAAAAACCTCCAGAAATAAGTTAATCCTTCACATCCTCTAAAATGAGTCACAACAGATTATTTCACAGAAATTTACAGGCTCTACTAGGAAGAGAGGAAGCTTTCATGTTTGAATAAAATATTTTAGAACAATAAACACAATAATTATTTAAATGATAAATAGACTTACCTTCATTATTGAAATTTAAATATAGAAACGGAGCACAAAGCGAGTCAAGACCTGATGGAGAGAGATTGGGGAAAAAATTAAAATAAACATAATCCAGCAGAATTGTAGATACATACCTTATTCAGATTTCTGCATTACTTCCATGTAGATTCAGTATTATACATTTGATCCATTCAGAAATATGTTATGGGTTATTGTGAGGAGTAACCGATGGTGATTAGCATATAGTAAACATCCAATATAAATCATCCATTATTATTATTAAGGTTATTATAAGTTGAAGAGAGAAATATAGTAACAGAAAAATGTACAAATGATAGAAAGGTTGAGTACAGTCCCTGTCTGTGTGATCTTGGTAATCACTTAACTCCAAACAGGTTTCCTTGTCAAGGAGATGAAAATTTTTCTTACATGTTTCTCTTCTTACATGTTTATTAGATGAAAAAAAATTCTTTAAAAAATTGTGAAGTAAAATATAAATACATGACATTTCTTTTATTGATAATAATGCTATTCACATATTGTCATGCTAAAAGAATGTATATAAATTTATCTATAACTGATAGGGAGACATGGAACTCTAAAATGAATAGAGCTAGAAAAAAACAATAGCTTTATTTTCAAGTTTGGCCAGAAACAGAGACAGAATTGAAATATAAAGATTACTATTCATAACAACAAATTAAAAACTAACACTAGGTGGAATGGATTTCTCACTCATGAATTTATCAATGACAGCAAAAAGAGTAATGAGAAAAGGTAAAAATCAAGGAGATGGAGTATTATAGATATTTTTTAAAAAGAGAAAAAATGAGAACTTCAGGGTGATATATATTCCCCAATTCCTAATAACCTAATAATATCCTAATCTGATAAGCAAAAGCTATAAATCATTAAATATCAAGAATATAAACTAGCCCCAAATTATTTACAGTACAAAATTATTTTATTATTTGAATTAAGGATTAAAAATGTATGCACAAAGACTATAACAGTATAAAATATTCTTTATACTTTGCTAATCAATATGACGTCAAGTTGTTTCATTAAATGTCATGCATTTAAATGATATTCACTAGACATTTAGACAAAGTTTTTTAAAAAAGTGCTGATATAAACATCTCAAAAAATGGAGCATAGCTTACTACTGACTTTTCTTAAAGCCAAAGATAATTTGATAGTTTGTTTTGATTTTAAAAATTATCAGTTACGCAACATGTTCCTAACACTTCAAAAAGTCTTAGTAATTGGGGAAAAAAGTTACCTTGCCAATACACAAGATCAGGATGGGATACAACCCAGGCTTTTAAGACACGCCGAAATTTTGCATGACCTTCTGGTGAGGATAACAGCTCATCATACTGATGACAACGAGGAATATCCACTTCAATCTGTGAAACAGCAAAACAATATGGTAGAACTATAATAGACAGATCACCAATAAATCCCAAGACAAGGAAGAGGAGAAATTGTATTATGAATTCAAGAATTGGCCGCCCACAATAATCCTGATGTTTTGAAGTGTTTGAACTTTATACTAATCCTCCAGGAACACTAAAAAGTTTTAAGTATACTTAAATAAAAAAAGCAGATCATTTCTTTTGAAAAAGTATATGTTAATTTAGTTTTCAAAAAATCTTACTTTACAATCTGGTCTAAATAAAGCACAAATTCTTCAGACAAAAAAGGTACATACTAGGAAAAGTTACTTGGCTTAAACTCCTTAAAGGAATAGTTCTGACTCACTAATGAGTTAGACTATATCCGAGAGAGGTAAGACTTATGCTTCTCTAATATCATATGCATATAAAGGCTGCTGAGTATTCATGATGAAAGGAAGAAAATTTCTCATGCCTTTCTAAAATTGAAAGATTGGGCAAACTTATCTAGGTTGTTTAAGAAAATCTATATCATACCTGTCTATCTGTAGGAATTGGAGTGTCTTTATCAATTGCATCATACTTGGCATGAATAGCCCCCTGCAAATAAAAAAAGAGAACATAAATTACTTCATCATACCTTTAATAAATTATAAATTTAGGCAAAATCTACTTAAAAACATCTATCTTTGAAAGCACACTCAGTTATAGACAGACACACTCAAGCTCATATACCCTTAGAAAGCTTTTCTACATTTTGACAGTTTGTGATAAAAGTCTGAAACAATTTACCATTTTGCTGAGGCAGATATTTGAATCATACATACTGTAAGACATACATGTTGAATGAGTCACATGGCTAATGAATATGCTTAGCCAATCTCCCAGCCTCCACAATGACACAAAACACAGCCTTCCTGTTCTTTATCACTGTATCTCATGCATAGTAAACTTCAAGGAGAAAATTTTTTTAAATTCAGGGGAAGGGAGTGGGGTTCATTCCACAAGAAATATTCCTGTTAAAAATTGGTAATGAAAGCAAAGATAAAATGAAACTGTTTACAGGAGTGGTAGTTCAGCACAAGGGAGCAGAAGTTTGGGATGAATCAGAGTGGAATATCATGTAGTTATAAAATCATTAAGAGACTAGAGGAATCATTTACATTTTCCAGTTATACCATTATAGAAAGAACAATTGAATAAACCACTTAAAATTTTGGTCATGTTCTATAAGACTAAGCACAGAACAGTTCTTATTGGTCTGGTAAACCTTAACAGTAGAGAAAGAGCCAGAATTTGGGGTTCAAATTCTGACATTATATGCTGCATCAACTTCTCTGGCACATCTATTTAATGAAAGACTTGGACCTTGGAAGTCCTTAGTGACATTATATGCTTAAAGTTATTTTATATGCTTAAAGAATTACAATTCTAACTAATGATGTATGGTACAGAACATTAGACATTCTTATAAAAGAAGCAACCAAACTCAAAAGTGTTCAGAGATTCTCACCAAAAGAATAAAAAAGGAAGAAAGGAAATCTTTCAACAGAGAGTGAAAAGGATTAAAAATATTTGGGAAAATTCACACACAAAAAATAGGTGACGGACATCCATAAGATATCTATAAGAGAACAGATGAAGGTAAGATGCCAAGGAAATTGACAGAAAAGGGAACAATCTGGTAGTGTTTGGCTCATTATTATGACTGCTGTTCTCTGTGAGCACTGCAAATCACCCTAATAATTTTGTGCCACCTCTCCTTTCCTCATGGCCACAGGTAGGGTATTGTACAAGATAAAGTTGCTACTTTTCTTAGCAGTGTGCTTCTGACAAGACAAATGTGTCAAAAGGCACTAAATTATGTTAATGATTTCTGACAGGGTTCCAATTAGAGTGGAAGACTTCTCCAAACTTAGACAGAACTACTTATAAACAGGGAAACCTGTTCCTAGAGGAACATACTTTATATGCAGGTCTACAGACTTACAAATGATGGATATATATTCTTAAAATATTCTGGTGCTAAAATTAATAATCAAGACAATTTGAGTTCATCAGATATACTATTAGGGATATTTTTCTACTCCATCTAGTCTATTCCTTTATTCTTTTCACTTAAAATTGCCAAAGATTCTTAATGCTCATATTTTACTACATAATTTTCTAAAACCTTGAAAAGTATGTATTCAGAAGGCACTTTCATTCTTTTTTCCTAGTACTATTAATCAGCTTCTAACCTTCTCTCTTCTTTTTTACCTCAACTCCCAGAAGAGCAGCCCAGGTTAAACCTCTCATAAGAGGAGGGATGTCGACTCTTGCTTCTTTCCAAATTTGATTTTTTTTATATGGATAAGCCTACAGATAAAAAAAAAGATATGAAAAATACCTCAAATTACCAGTGCCATCTCTTTAGCCAGTTCTCAATACACCAGTGAAAAAGTTGAAGGTGAACTGTAATGTTTCTAATTACCTGAAATTACTTTGGTGTTATTAATACATAAAAGTTAGCAGTGAAATAGTTCTCTATCTTCTGTAAATCTCATATTACACAATCAATGAGAGGAGTTGAGTCTACTGTTTTTAGTAATACCTCTCTATCTTGTGCTCTGCAAGAATTAAGAAAGACTCATTCTGAGAATAATATCAGTTTCATATAGGTAAAGTAATATAAGTAAGGCTCTTTGTAAAATATCTGATGATACAGAAAGTATTAAATAAATATATTATTACAGTTTCTCCTATATCTTTGCATACAAATTTGTCTATTTGTAAATTTGTATGCCATGAGAAATTTCTAGAAGAGAAATATTAGGATAAAGGGTATGGATGTTGTTAATGCTCTTGATATATACCTTCAATTGTTGTACAAAATGTTTCTATCAACTTACACTTATTCCAAAAGAATGAGAGTTCCAATCTTAATATATCTTAATCACTCTGCTAATTTGGTATGCAAGAAAAGGCTATTTTACTTTTTTAAATTTCTATTAATAGTAAGGATACATTCTCTAATAGATTTACTGACTAGTTGTATTTCTACTGTGTTCTTTATCTATTTCCCTGTTTAGATAATAGTGCTTTTTTCTTTTGGTTTCTAGGTGTTCTTTAAATAGTAAGGATATTAATATCTCATATGATTGTGTATAGATTCCTGCATCTTGTTTAGTTTTTAATTTTATATACTATGAATAGGTATCAGTTATAATTAAAATTAATCAGAAAACATAAGTCACAAGAATTAGTCTTCTCATGACATCAAGATTCCCTAAGAATTATGAATGAATAAAAGATAAGGACTGGATACGGACATTTATAACACTTTACACTTTAGAATCTCTACCTTTAGCAGCCTGTCAAAGAGAACGATTCTGTTTAGTTGGTACTCTGTGTCCCTCTCTCGGATGATTAAAGGGAGAGTGGCAGCTGCAGACAGCTCATTATTGCTGTTTGAATGAGGTAAATTAGACTGACTGTAAAAGAGAAACAAAAGCAGAAAAGTTAACAAAAGGTAAAAAAATTTTAAAAATTAAAATACCATATTTTTGTGTTCATTTTAGGAAAAACTTTCCAAAGAAAATGTACAAGCTTCTCACCAGAATAACATAAACAGATAGGAAAAATAAATGTAAAAGGAGATGATATACTCACTCATCTTCAAGTAGTGGGTAAAATGCTTCTCCACCAACATCTTTTAATCTCTGTGAATTGAGAGAGAAAATATTTGATATTTAGGATCTGTGACAGAAATGCTGACCCATATTTAAAAGAAAAACTGACAGAAAAATATGAATTTATAAAGGTAACAAGAAAAGTTACAGAGTCTAAAATTCATTCCTAACATATATATGAAAATATGCCATGCCTCCAGTGATTAAATTTATCTGTGAAGAACTGCTTTTTGATTTTTTGACCTCTAGGTACCTCTAGTAGAGATTAGATACCTATTATAAAAGTTTTCCAAATGTAAATACTAAATAAAGTATTCAGAAATACTGAAGTTAGTATAAATTTTAACAAATGGGTAACTATTTAAAAATTATATGAAGATTATTTTAAAAGGTACTTTTGAATACATATTCCTAAAAGTCAGATTTTTGTTTTGACATTAATAAAAAAGTTAGACAAAAGTAAGAGGATATAAAAAGGATTCAAAAGAATTTCTCACATCATACTTTGAACATAAATGATTCAAAGAGCTGATAAATCAACTAACAAAAATAAATTTATTTTTTCCACAGTCATTATAATAAATGTTACTCCAAATAATAATATTGCCAGAATTATAGATATTCTTTAAAAACAGAAGGCTGTCAGAGTAAAGTAAAATCTTAGATACACTGTAAGCAGGGTGATTAAAAGTTATTGCCATCCTGTCTGCTGCTCAGTTCAACTTCCAACTGGAAGGCAGAGTATCTGCTTCTCTGGGGACTGACGTAGAAGATGGAGCTGTGTAGAGTCAGCACTGATCTTCTGTTGTTTAGCATCTATGCACTCATTCATGGAAGTTGTTCCCAGAATTTTTAAAAGCCAAAAAAACCCCCAACACTATGAATCTGATAAAAAGTGACTTTATGCCTAGCTTTTCTCTAAAATTGAACATGCATTTACCATTTTGCTTTTAAGACTTTAGGTATTTCTTTCATGGATTAAAATTCTAAATTGAAAACTAAAATTTTCACAAATTTTACTGTCCTGAAAGTCATAAATATAATTAATATCTTTTCTGTTTTTTTCTAGCTAAAAATTTAGCATATTAAAGGTTTATAAAAGGCAAAATTTCTTACACAGAAAAGTATAAGGTAAAATTATTATTCATCTCCATATTATTTTAAAAATTAACATTAAAATTTTTTCTTAATAATTCTAGAAAAAAGTATTTTAAATTTCAGAAGTGGAATTGTAAGGGAATTGGGGAAATAAAACTAAAGTCCACATTCATTTAACTTGTATTCATATCACTTGTATCAGATTTAAATTAAAGAAACAAACAGAGTTAAATAAAATAGTTGAAACATATATTTTGGATATATTTTATTTTTACCACCTTGCATTGCTACTTATTTTATCCACTGTACACAGTCTTTCACTTCAAAGGGATGATAAGTTTAGAATATCAAATGTAATAATTATATATTTTAATTTTCTGTTGCTGGCATTTAAGCAGGTAAGAGACTCTAATACCCTCCTACTCCATAACATTTAAAATATTAAATGAGAGGAAACGCCTGTAAGAGTAATGAAAATGCAGTGACAGAAGACACAAAGCTGCATGTAGAGAGAAAGGGGCTAAGCTAGTACTAAAGGACACAGAACTGTGGACTAGGGTTTCAGAGGACAACAGCACAAAGCCTCAGGCACTCAATTAACAGGCAGTCAAACTGGAGGGAGACCCTGCTACATCCAGGAAAAGAAAACTCCGGGAGTATGTGTGCGTGCGTGCCTGCATGGGGAGAGGGTGCTGAACTGCTAGCCTAGAGACAGACAAGGGAAATTACCTATTCTATCTTTAGAGTTGGACACGATTAAGGATGCACATAGGTGATTAAAAATAAAAAGGCTAGAAATTTTGGTTTTCAGACCAATACTCCATCAGTGTGGAAGTCATCCTTTCTGCCCTAACAACAAGAAAAAAGCTGAAAAAAACTGAAAATTACAACCCTCTTTAGAACTATCAGAATCAGGGCAAAATGTTACCCAATAGGAGCTTGAGAGATAAAAAACTGTGGAGGCCCAGACCTAAGGGAAACTTCACACTTCCTTGAGTTTTACCCCCATAAGTCTCAACATGTTCTCAGGGTGAAGGTCTAAGAAAAATCCCCTCCTGTCTCTTGCATGAGAAGGGGCAAAATAACCATTTTGAACTACTCCTAGGGTATCTTGTCTTAAGTAAAGGCCTGCTCTTCAGGGAAACTATTTTACCAGAGCCTAAATGACCTGTGGTAAGGGAAATACAAAATTCTAGGTCCTTATAGTCTTGATGTGGGGAAGAGAAATACTCAATTACTGTTCTCTGTAGCCTTCCTGTCTCACCTAAAGTAACAGGGAGGGAAGCTGAGAGTTCCACAGCCCAGAGACACAGGCTCACTAAAACACTGAGACTTAATGATAGGATTAGCCCTTCAATCGACTTTCCCTCCCCTATCTTATTTCCATATGTAGAGTTTCTGTGAAGGACCGGGAAGCCTGGCAAGCTGCAATCCCTGGGGTTGCAAAGTTGGACACTGAGTGACTGAGCAACAACAAAGTTTCTGTATGATACAGGAGATTCCGGCTGAAAGAACTGCAAGCCTCAGATTCTGTGTCTCCAGAGAAATCTAAAGACAGTAAGGAAGATAAGAACATTGGCGTTTGAGGATTTTACTCTGACAAAAAAGCTACACAAATAGTAAACAGCTAGATAAACATGAAATCTTTCACTGAAGATCTATTTATTACAGTTTTTTTTACCAATATATCATGTTGCATTCTCCTCCACCCCCCAAATTGTAAGGCATGCTAAAGTATAAAAAAGACATTCTGCAGAGACCAAGCACTCTTCAGAACCAGATTCACATATGGCAGAGATTTTGGAATTATCAGACCAGGAATTTAAAATAACTGATTAAAATGCTAAAGGTTATAAGGGAAAAAATGAACCACATGCAAGAAGAGGTAGGCAATATAAGCAGAAAGATGAAAATACTAAGGAATAATCAGAGGATGTAACCTATGTGTGACAGGAATACCCAAGAGGAGAGTGAAAGAAATGGAAGAGATATTTGAAGTAATGACAGAAATTTTAAAATCAGACATACACCAAATGAAAAATCCCAAGAAAGCTCAGAGACCATCAAGCAGGAAACATTTTTTTAAAATCTACATCTAGGCATATCATATTTAAACTGCAAAAACTCAAATAACAAATAGAAAACCTTGACAGAAAGTAAAAAAGGAACCTTACCTATAGAGGAAAACGATAAGAATTACATCAGATAGCTCTTCAGAAACCATGCAAGCAAGAGAGTGGGAGGAAATGTTTGAAGTATAAAAGAAAAAAAAAACCTAGAATTTTGTATCCAACAAAATTTTCCTTCAAAAGTAGTAAGAAAGACACACTCTACATTATCTGAAAGAAACCCACTTTAAATATAAATAGATACATTAAAAGTAAAGGAATAAAGATATACCATGAATAACACTAATTAAAAGAAAACTAGGATAGCTAGATTAATTTCAAACAAAACTAACTTTAGAGCAAGAAAAATCATAAAGCTAAGTGAGATAACTGAGGTATGCCTGTATAGCCAATAAATACTATGTAAATAAATACATTTTTAAAATCCTCAATAAGAAATCACTCAAAAACACTGGCAAGAGATTAAAAACTAGCAATATACTGAAGAGGTAAGCAAATCACAAAAAATATAAAAGGGCTCATAACTGTACAGTAATCTGGTAATTGAAAATTAGTATTACAGCAAAATACCATATTGCACCTTTTAGAATAATAATTTTTTAAGAATTTGATAAGATCATATGTTACCACATATATGGAGAAATGAGAACCCTTATCCAATGATGGTAAAAAGATAAAGTGATAAGATCATTTCTGTGAACAGAAAATACAACAATAGATACTAGACTGATTGCAGATCCTATTTTCCAACAATGTCACTCCTGGGCACATATCTTAAAGAAATGCTCACATATTTTATGATACCAGGAAGAAATCTAGGCTTCATGTGTATCTGTAAGGTTTTATTAAAAAAAAAAAAGAAGAAGCCACTAAGGGAGGGAGGGAGGGAGGGAGGGAGGGAAGGAGGGAGGGAGGGAAGAAGGAAAAAGGTCTGAAGCAAATTTGCCAAAATTCCATTCTCACATTTCTTAGCTGGCATAATGACAGTGTCACAGTGGTGTCATCTAATAGTGAACTTCTATCTCGACCTTGTCCAAAGCTTTCACCATCTTCAAAGAGAAAACTGAAAAGAGATTTTAAAAATAAGTTAGTTTAATGAGCATAGAAATCCAATTTACTGTTTCTTCTAGAAAATAAAATTTACTCTAAATCATAAATCTCTTTATCAAAAGAAAGAAAGAAATTTTAGACTGAATAAAATCTGTAATTGGTGGTAGAAATTTCCCCAAAAAAATCATTTTTAAACATATGTTGAGTTTGTATAGACACAGTGCATGTGTGCCCAGTGACCCAGTTGTGTCTGACTCTTTGCAACCCCATGGACTGCAGCCTGCTAGGCAACTCTGTCCATGTCTACAGGGAAGAATACTGGAGCGGACTGCCACTTCCTCCTTCAGGGTCCTTCCCGAGACTGAACCCAAGACTCCTGCATGCAGATTCTTTACCACTGAGCCACCCGGAAGGCCCCTATAAATACAGTATATGAATATAAAGCATCTTAGGGATACAAGAATATGATTTACACTGTTCATGCAGGTGCAATGATAAAATTACACTGACAGTATGTAACATGTTCCTGAGGAAATTTATATAGGTAAAAAATGATAAAAGGAGGAAGAAAATAAAATGGTAATGATGATAACTTCTCAGGAGAAAGATTACTGAGTAATACACATATTTAGAATTTTAGAGAATTAATTTTTATATCCTTCAAACCATTTACTCGGAATTGCCATCATCTTATTTCTGATTTTTCTACTTAATGCATCATGTGAACAGTACAATTGAAGTTAATATTTAAGAATCAGTTTAAGAGGGGGGAAAGGTACAGAATTAGTGCTGTATTCAAACAATTAGCCTAAAATTTACATACGATGAAAAAAATGATCAGCAGATGGTTTTTATAGTTATCTACAAAGATCAAATCTAGTCCTAAAACCTAAAATTAAAACTTTAAAGCACTGATGGAAAGAGATGTAGGTTCTCATTTTTATGAACGAACATGATGAGCAATGGAACAATTAACAGTTTTGGCTCTTAGCATTGTATTGTCATTTAATTTCTAAGTAATTTATAAGATGGTGTCTAAGACCTTATACAACTTTGCAGTTTTTCAACAGCGCTTTAGTACCATGATGTCTCTAGGACAAGCAATGAGGTCTCTCAGTACATTTTAAAATATCATTAGAAGTAAAAAAAAAAAAAATAGTTCCTCATAATGGGCATACTGGCCTAGTATATTAACTCTCTTAAATATTACTGTTTGTAATTTTGTACAAATATTACTATTTGTACCATTTTTTTAATTGATCACCAACTATTGTGAGATGTTCCATAATAATACCTTTACTTCAAATAGATCATAATACAAATAACTTATTAAAAACAGTAGTTTTAAAAATAACAAAAGCACTGATAAGAACTCTGCAATTAGAAACTCCTACCAAACATTTCACCAAAGAAGACACACAGATGGCCAATAAACACATGAAAAGCTGCTCACACTTGTTATTAGAGAAATGGAAATCAAAACTATATAATGTATCACCTCACACTAGTCAGAATGGCTATCAACAAAAAATCTACAAACAATAAATGCTGGAGAGGACATGGAGAAAAGGTCAACCTCGTGCACTGTTGGTGGGAATGCAAGCTGATACAGCCATTATGGAAAACAGTATGGAGATTCCTTAAAAGAACAGGAATAAATCTACCATATGACCCAGCAATCTCACTCTTGGGCATATATCCAGAGAAAACCAGAAGTCTAAAAGACACATGTACCCCAGTGTTCATTACAGCAATATTTATAATAGCCAGGAAAGAAGCAACCTAGATGTCCATCAACAGATGAATGGATAAAGAAGTTGTACATTTATATAATGGAATATTACTCAGCCATAAAAAGGAACAAATTTGAGTCAGTTGTAGTGAAGCGGATGAACCTAGAGCCTCTTATACAGAGTGAACTAAGTTAGAAAAAGAAAAACAAGTATTGTATATTAATGCATATATATGGAATCTAAAAAAAAATGGTAATAATGAACCTAGTAGACAACAGACTTGTGGACACAGGGGAAGATGAGTTTAGTTCAGTTCAGTCGCTCAGTTGTGTCTGACTCCTTGCGACCCCATGGACTGTAGCACACCAGGCCTCCCTGTCCATCATCAACTTCCAGAGTTTACTTAAACTTATGTCCATTGAGGGGGATGATGAGGGTGGGATGAATTGAGAAAACAGCATTGTCATATATATATTACCATCTGTAAAATAGTGGGAAATTGCTAAATAACACAGGGAACCTAGCCTGGTGCTCTGTGATGACCTAGATAGGTGAGACTGGAGGAAGGTAGGGAGGCTCAGGAGGAAAGGGAGATATATATATATATACACACACACACATATATATATATATAAAATTATGACTGATTTGCATTGTTGTACAGCAGAAACCAACACTAAATTGTAAAGCAATTTTCCACCAATTAAAAAATAAAATAGAAAAAAAACATGGAAAAACTGAATAAAAAAAGAAACTTCTGCCAAGGAAGCAAGATATTGATTTCAAATTGTTTTCACAATCACTTAGCTAGAATGTCTACATACTAAAAGAAAAAACTATCAAATTAAAAAAAGTTATTACTAGATTTCTCTCATTTCCAAGAGATGTTTTCTTTCCTTACTTGGGGAGTGTGCAGATAGGTGGTTTGGATCGAATGATTTCCTTGTTCACAAGCTCTTTTTCCAAGTCACCTCCAGCTAAACACCAAAGGTAATACACTTCTTCAATAGATCTTTCTGCCAGGTAGTCATTGTTTATATCTATTAGTGGAAAATTTAAAAAATAGCTATCACACTTTCTGTTTTTATTAAAAGGCAACAGGCAATAATAGCTGACATTTTAAAAAAGTAAAATCTGAAGAACACAGTAAGATTCCCTTTACAATATTCATATTACAAAATGCAGAGGATTAAATGCAGAAATACATACTGGTTGTGCATCCAGCTTCTTTGAGAAAAAAGTGTGATTTTTATCCTCTATATCAGAGATATATATACATAGGCATATATATATATGGGACACACACACACACATTAGATATATCAAGCCCTGCAGGAAAGAAATAGCAGCAAAAAAAGCACCTGAGTAGGCAACCAGCACACCCTGTCCCATGCTTTGTCTTGAGACGATTTCTGCCTCCTTTAAAGGTCCTGATGTCTCACAGAGGCTTTGCTTCCATTGTACTATGTTCGTACTGACCTTCACTTAATTTTTTTTTGGCCACCCACCCAGCATGTGGGACCTTAGTTCTCAGACAAGGGATTGAACACATCCCCCTTACATAGGAAGTGCAGAATGTTAACCACTTGGATTGCCAAGGAAGTCTTGGATCTTCACTTACAATAGTAACTATGTGATTGAATGTCTGTTTACCTTCCCAGTTGGCACAAATGATACTTGAAGATATAGTGTATTGAACATAGTAGAAACTCAGTAAGTATCTGACTGAATGAATGTTTAGTATTTCCTACCATGACTATGTCATATTAATTTTTTATATAAACTGGTGTCACTAAAAAACTCATTTTGAGAGCTGTAATTTTCAGAGAGGAATGAAAAGAGAAAAGGTGGTATTCTCTTACAAACATGGAATATAATAATAATGCACTTAACAATAATATGATTTTTAGATAATTTATAATAAATTTTATGAAATCTATATAAATATTAAGGTAACAGAAATTCCATTGTAAACCAGATCTGATTAGGGCCCTGGTTTACATAATAAGAAAAAATTTTTTGTTTGATACTACTTCTTTGATTCTTAAAGTCCTCGCTCCAAAGTAATTTAAATTTAAAGGATTAAAATGTTAGGTTATATTTTAACCACTTCCAAAATTACTTAACTCTCAGATAAGTATCCAAAAAGTCTCACTAATATAAATATATACTGTTGACAAATTCAAAACTGAAATTAGGATAAGGGTACTTCCTTTAAACACATGGCTTCTATTCTTAGTATTCTTTATCATTACCTTTACACAACTGACTGATATCCTCCGGCAGAGTCAAATCAGCACATCTCAGAGAAGAAGAAAACAGGCTGGCAGGTTTGATAAAGGGAGTGTATAAGGGTAACACTTCACTGAACACATTGTCCTGCATTAACTCTTCTGGGGTTGGCCTTAAGAAACACATTTAAAATACAGCACATGAATGAAAGTCATTAAAATGTTCTTTGAGCAATGGCACACTTAAGGGGAATAATTAAAAGTCATGAACACCTCATTAGCATAGAAAATAACAAAGCTCTCCTCTCAGAGTCTAGATATACACCTTTAAAAAGGAATCAAATGATTATAAATAAATACTGACTTTTTTTACCTTTTGTGCTTTTTGTACTTTACAACTTATCAAATATTATTACATATGAGCATCTCCAGTTTTTACTTTCAGCTTGACCATCATAAACTTGCTTCACTGAATATCCTAATTGAATAATAAAAGTATAAACCAATACTATCTTCTGATTTTCTTCCTACTCTCTTAATGTGGTATCAGTTCAGTCGCTCAATCGTGTCCGACTCTTTGCGACCCCATGAGCCGCAGCATGCCAGGCCTCCCTGTCCATCACCAACTCCCAGAGTTCACCCAGCTCATGTCCATGAAGTCAGTGATGCCATCCAACTATCTCATTTTCTGTCATCCCCTTCTCCTCCCATCTTCAATCTTTCCCAGCATCAGGGTCTTTTCAAATGAGTCAGTTCTTTGCATCAGGTGGCCAAAGTATTGGAGTTTCAGCTTCAGTCCTTCCAAACAACACCCAGGATTGATTTCCTTTAGGATGGACTGGTTGGCTCTCCTTGCAGTCCAAAGGATTCTCAAGAGTCTTCTCCAACACCACAGTTCAAAAACATCAATTCTTCGGTGCTCAGCTTTCTTTATAGGCCAACCCTCACATCCATACAGGACTACTGAAAAAACCATAGCTTTGACTAGATGGACCTTTGTTGACAAAGTAATGTCTCTGCTTTTTAATATGCTATCTAGGTTGGTCAAAACTTTTCTTCCAAGAAGCAAGTGTCTTTTACTTTCACAGTTGCAATCACCATCTGCAGTGATTTTGGAGCCCAAAAAAATAAAGTCTCTCACTGTTTTCACTGTTTCCTCATCTATTTGCCATGAAGTGATGGGACTGGATGCCATGGTCTTAATTTTCTGAGTGTTGAGTTTTAAGCAAGCTTTTTCACTCTCCTCTTTCACTTTCATCAAGAGGTTCTTTAGCTTTTCTTTGCTTTCTGCCATAAGGGTGGTGTCATCTGCCTATTTGAGGTTATTGATATTTCTCCCAGCAATCTTGATACCAACTTGTGCTTCATCCAGCTCGGGGTTTCTCATGATGTACTCTGCATGTAAATTAAATAAGCAGGGTGACAATATACACCCTTGACGTACTCCTTTTCCTATTTGGAACCAATCTGTTTTCCGTGTCCAGTTCTAACTGTTGCTTCCTGACATGCATACACATTTCTCAAGAGACAGGTCAGGTGGTCTGGTATTCCCATCTCTTCCAGAATTTTCCACAGTTTGTTGTGGTTCACACAGTCAAAGGCTTTGGCATAGTCAATAAAGCAGAAATAAATGTTTATCTGGAACTCTCTTGTTTTTTTGATGATTCAGCGGATGTTGGCAATTTGATCTCTGGTTCCTCTGCCTTTTCTAAATCCAGCTTGAACATCTGGAAGTTCACGGTTCATGTATTGCTGAAGCCTGGCCTGGAGAATTTTGAGAATTACTTTACTAGTGTGTGAGATGAGTGCAATTGTGTGGGAGTTTGAGCATTCTTTGGCATTGCCTTTCTTTGGAATTGGAATGAAAACTGACCTTTCCCAGTCCTATGGCCACTGCTGCATTTTCCAAATTTACTGGCATATTGAATGCAGCACTTTCACAGCATCATCTTTTAGGATTTGAAATAGCTCAACTGGAATTCTATCACCTCCACTAGCTTTGCTCGTAGTGAGGCTTCCTAAGGCCCACTTGACTTCATATTCCAGATGTCTGGCTCTAGGTGAGCGATCACACCATTGTGATTATCTGGGTCATGAAGATCTTTTTGTACAGTTCTTCTGTGTATTCTTGCCATCTCTTCTTAATATCTTCTGCTTCTGTTAGGTCCATACCATTTCTGTGCTTTATTGTGCTCATCTTTGCATGAAATGTTCCCTTAGTATCTCTAATTTTCTTGAAGAGATCTCTAGCCTTTCCCATTCTATTGTTTTCCTCTATTTCTTTGCATTAATCCCTGAGGAAGGCTTTCTTATCTCTCCTTGATATTCTTTGGAACTCTGCATTCAGATGCTTATATCTTTCCTTTTTCTTGTTTGCTTTTCACTGCTCTTCTTTTCACAGCTATTTGTAAGGCCTCCTCACACAGCCATTTTGCTTTTTTGCATTTCTTTTTCTTGGGGATGGTCTTGCTCCCTGTCTCCTGTACAATGTCACGAACCTCCATCCATAGTTCATCAGGCACTCTGTCTATCAGATCTAGTCCCTTAAAGCTATTTCTCACTTCCACTGTATAATCAAAAGGGATTTGATTTAGGTCATATCTGAATGGTCTAGTGGTTTTCCCCACTTTCTTCAATTTAGGTCTGAATCTGGCAATAAGGAGTTCATGATCTGAGCCACAGTCAGCTCCTAGTCTTGTTTTTGCTGACTGTACAGAGCTTCTCCATCTTTGGCTGTAAAGAATATAATCATCTGATTTTGGTGTTGGCCATCTGGTGACATCCATGTGTAGTCTTCTCTTGTGTTGTTGGAAGAGGGTGTTTTTTCTATGACCCGTGTGTCATAGAAACATTAGCAAAACTCTATTAGCCTTTGCCCTACTTCATTCTGTACTCCAAGGTCAAATTTGGCTGTTAATCCATGTGTTTCTTGGCTTCCTACTTTTGCATTCCAGTCCTCTATAATGAAAAGGATATCTCTTTTGGGTGTTAGTTCTAAAAGGTGTTGTAGGTCTTCAAAGAACCATTCAACTTCAGCTTCTTCAGCGTTACTGGTCAGGGCATAGACTTGGATTACTGTGACATTGAATGGTTTGCCTTGGAGATGAACATAGATCATTTTGTCGTTTTTAAGATTGCATCCAAGTACTGCATTTCGGACTCTTTTGTTGACTATGATGGCTACTCCATTTCTTCTAAGGGATTCCTGCCCACAGTAGTAGGTATAATGGTCTGAGTTAAATTCATGTGGTATATTTACCCAAAACTATGCTTTTAATACCATGCCTCTCATTCAAACATGTCTTGATAAAGATGTTTTCATAAAGATAAATTAGAATATATTATTTTCAAATATTACATACTTATAGAGTTTAGGGACAAATGAATGGGTAACAGTGACATCATTAAATGAAAATAATAAAACTTCTAAGAAATCCTTTTACATTATCAACAATTATTAACTTACCTCACTAAGTGTTTTTCTATAATGCTTATTTAGCAATAAACTTTTGTTCTCATTTTTCTCATATCATTGTATCTAGGCATATCTACCTTCCATAGTTTAGAAAATGAACTAGTGGCTGCCTTTGGTATATGCCAGCTTTCTGATCATGTTTTAATTATTTTTTCTTGTCTTATGACCATACATTAAAGCCAAAACTAAAAGTTATGATACTAATATCAATCATACATTATTACATATGTTAATATTCTTATTTAATCCATTAGTATTAAAAAATTAAGTACTTATATGTTAAGATCTCAGTAATAATCCCAAACTCTTGATATCAACCTCTTAGAAGGATGGAAGGTGAGGCACTTCTTTAAAAGATTTAGCACAGTTTCAGGAAGCTCCTGGTAAACAGAGAGAGAGAGTAATTATTTTAAACAATCCACTTAAAAATTTATATTTCTTACATAGTTTTCTACTTTAAGAAGTTTTGACTTCTTTGGAAAGCCTTTGCTTTAAAATAGTTTGCTACTGGATCCCAAGTATGCAAAATAAATTTTCAATAACAGATTAATGACAAACCTTTATAATGTCCAGACAACCATGCTCCTCAGCCAGAACTATTATAGTGTCATCTACACAGTCTACAAAAGAGGAAAATTACATGAATTGAAGCTGCTTTTACAACTTACCAGACTGGGAATTAAACTTTAATAACATTATTTTAAATTGTATAATGCAACTTTGGAACTTGGATATTAAAAAAGTTGAGACTTTGTCAAGTTTCCTTATATGTTTTAATAAATGAAAAAAGGCTTTATTTTATTTTTATGATTATAAGACTGCTTTTATTAAATACAATTGAAGAATGTACACACATTTTTCTGGTCTTTAAACTATAAGGTTGGAGAGGAGCCAAGATGGCGGAGGAATAGGACAGGGAGACCACTTTCTCTCCTACAAATTCATCGAAAGAACATTTGAATGCTGAGCAAATTGCACAAAACAACTTCTGATCGCTAGCAGAGGACATCAGGCGCCCAGAAAAGCAGCCCATTGTCTTCGAAGGGAGGTAGGACAAAATATAAAAGATAAAAAGGGAGTCAAAAGAGCTACGGACGGAGACCCGTCCCGGGAAGGGAGTCTTAATAGAGGAAGTTTCCAATCACCAGGAAACCCTCGCACTGGCGGGACTGGGGGAAGTTTTCGGCAACCTAACTGGGAGGAAAAATTAAATAAGGCCCATAGATTACGTGCCTAAAAGCAACTCCCAGCAGAAAAGTACCCCAGACGCCCGTACCCGCCAGCAACAAGCGGGGGCGGGACGGAGAGGAGCGGGCGGCGTTGCTTAGGGCACGAACACACTGCCGGCGGTTCGCAAAACAAAGGGACTGAGAAAGTCCAGAGAAGAGCCGGCCCATCCCCGCTGGAGGTTGGAGGCAGGGGGTAGGGGAAAAGGGCAAACTCAGTCCCTGAGAAGCCACCCCCTCCCACACTGCAGACAGGCCCCCGGTTCCTATCTAAAGACTTCCTGAGACCCGACTGGAGGCGCGCGCGCTGGGGCCGCGGAGGGAAAAAGCGCGCCGTACCCGGGGAGAGTGCGCCCAAGCCTCTGGCTGCCTGGGCTGCCCGCCGCGGAGGGAAAAGGCGCGCCGCACCCAGGGAGAGTACGCCCAAGCCTCTGGCTGCATGAACCGCTCAGGCCGGGGAAGGCACAAAACGCAGGCGCAACCGAATCTGCGCTTTTGTGGAGTACCCGAAATCTGGAACCGCACTCAACGCAGGGCCCGCTCCATATAGAGCAGCCGGGAGCCTGAGCAGTGTAGACGGCAAAAGCACTGACACCCGTGAGCGGGGCAAACCCAGTGTGCCCGGAACACGGTGAGTGCTAGCCACACAGAGCGGTATCTGTCTGCAGCGCCCCGCCCTCCCCGTAGCAGGACTGAACTGAGCTAGAGAACCTAAATAAGAGATCACCTCCGCCCGCCTGTGTCAGGGCGGAAATTAGACACCGAAGAGACGGCAAACAGAAGCCAAATAAACAAAGGGAACCGCTTCAGAAAGGACTGGTGCAACAGACTAAAATCCCTGAAGGTAACACCGACTACACCAGAAGGGGCCTACAGATATCGAGAAGTGTAAGCTGGAAAGAGGAGCTATCTGAAATTGAACTGAACCTACGCTGACTGCAACAACTCCAGAGAAATTCCTAGATATATATATATATATATATTTTTTTTAATTTAAAAAAAAAATTTTTTTTTCTATTTTTTTTATTTTTTTTAATTTTTTCTCTTTTATTTTCTTTTTAAATTCCCTATTACTCCCCCATTACTCCTCAACTTTCATTTTCATATATTTTTACGATTTTTTTAATTAGGGAAAAAAAAAATTTTTTTTTCTTTTTTTTTCTTTTTCTTGTTTTTCTCTCCTATTTTAAAGTCCTCTAATACTCCTCTATTATTCCTTAATTTTCATTTTCATTTCACTATAACCTTGCCAAAAAAAAAAAAAAAAAAGAGAGAGAGAAACCCTATTTTTAAATCAAACTTCATATACATTTCTAAATTTTTTGTTTTTGTTTTTGTTTTTAAATATTGTATTTCAAAGAGTCTAACCTCTACACTAGATTTTTAATCTTTGTTTTTCAGTAGTAGGTGACATAAATTTTGGTCATTTAAGAATCCAATATTCAGTTCCCATTTCTATTCAGGAGTGTGGTGATTACTCTCCCACTTTTGACTCTCTGTTTTCTACCTCGGAACACCTCTATTTCCTCCTTTCCCCTTCTCTTCCCAGTCCAACTCTGTGAATCTTTGTGGGTGTCTGGGCTACGGAGAACACTTTGGGAACAGATAACTGCGTAGATCTGTCTCTCTCCTCTTGAGTCCCTTTTTTCTCCTCCTGATCACCTCTATCTCCTTCCTCCCTCTCCTATTCTTCATGTAATTCTGTGAACCTCTCTGGTTGTCTCTCACGGTGGAGAATCTTTTCACCATTAACCTAGAAGTTTTATTATCAGTGCTGTATAGTTGGAGAAGTCTTGAGACTATTGGAAGAACAAAACTGAAATCCAGAGGCAGGAGACTTAAGCCCAAATCTTGAGAAAACCAGAAAACTCCTGACTACACGGAACATTAAGGAATAAGAGACCATCCAAAAGCTTCCATACCTACACCAAAACCAACCACCACCCAAGAGCCAATAAGCTCCAGTACAAGACATACCACGCAAATTCTTTAGCAATGCAGAAACATAGACCTGAGTGTCAACATACAGGCTCTCCAAAGTCACACCTAACACATAGATCCATCGCAAAACTCATTACTGGACACTCCATTGCACTCCAGAGAGAAGAAATCCAATTCCACGCACCAGAACGCTGACACAAGCTTCCCTAACCAGGAAACCTTGACAAACCAATCGTCCAACCCCACCCACTGGGTGAAACCTCCACAATAAAAAGGAACCTCAGACCACAAGAATACAGAAAGCCCACTCCAGACACAGCAATCTAAACAAGATGAAAAGGCAGAGAAATACCCAACAGCTAAAGGAACATGAAAAAAGCCCACCAAGTCAAACAAAAGAGGAGGAAATAGGGAATCTACCTGAAAAAGAATTTAGAATAATGATAATAAAAATGATCCAAAATCTTGAAAACAAAATGGAGTTACAAATAAATAGCCTGGAGACAAAGATTGAGAAGATGCAAGAAATGTTTAACAAGGACCTAGAAGAAATAAAAAAAAGTCAATTAAAAATTAATAATGAAATAAATGAGATCAAAAACACTCTGGAGGGAACCATGAGTAGAATAACAGAGACAGAAGATAGGATAAGTGAGTTAGAAGATAAAATGGTGGAAATAAATGAAGCAGAGAGGAAAAAAGAAAAAAGAATCAAAAGAAATGAGGACAACCTCAGGGAGCTCTGGGACAATGTGAAATGCCCCAACATTCGAATCATAGGAGTCCCAGAAGAAGAAGACAAAAAGAAAGACCATGAGAAGATACTCGAGGAGATAATAGCTGAAAACTTCCCTAAAATGGGGAAGGAAATAGCCACCCAAGTCCAAGAAACCCAGAGAGTCCCAAACAGGATAAACCCAAGGCGAAACACCCCAAGACACATATTAATCAAATTAACAAAGATCAAACACAAAGAACAAATATTAAAAGCAGCAAGGGAGAAACAACAAATAACACACAAAGGGATTCCCATAAGGATAACAGCTGACCTATCAATAGAAACCCTTCAGGCCAGAAGGGAATGGCAGGACATACTTAAAGTAATGAAAGAGAATAACCTACAACCTAGATTACTCTACCCAGCAAGGATCTCATTCAGATATGAAGGAGAACTCAAAAGCTTTACAGACAAGCAAAAGCTGAGAGAATTCAGCACCACCAAACCAGCTCTTCAACAAATATTAAAGGATCTTCTCTAGACAGGAAACACAGAAAGGTGGTATAAACGTGAACCCCAAACAACAAAATAAATGTCAACGGGACCATACCTATCAATAATTACCTTAAATGTAAATGGGTTGAATGCCCCAACCAAAAGACAAAGGCTGGCTGAATGGATAAAAAAGCAAGACCCCTATATATGCTGTCTACAAGAGACCCACCTCAAAGCAAGGGACACATACAGACTAAAAGTGAAGGGCTGGAAAAAAATATTCCATGCAAACGGAGACCAAAAGAAAGCAGGAGTCGCAATACTCATATCAGATAAAATAGACTTTCAAATAAAGACTGTGAAAAGAGACAAAGATGGACACTACATAATGATCAAAGGATCAATCCAAGAAGAAGATATAACAATTATAAATATATATGCACCCAACATAGGAGCACCGCAATATGTAAGGCAAACGCTAACGAGTATGAAAGAGGAAATTAATAGTAACACAATAATAGTAGGAGACTTTAATACCCCACTCACAACTATGGATAGACCAACTAAACAGAAAATGAACAAAGAAGCACAAACTTTAAAGGACACAATGGAGCAGCTAGACCTAATTGACATCTATAGGACGTTTCACCCCAAAACAATCAACTTCACCTTTTTCTCAAGTGCACACGGAACCTTCTCCAGAATAGATCACATCCTGGGCCATAAATCTAGTCTTGGTAAATTCAAAAAGATTGAAATCATTCCAGTCATCTTTTCTGACCACAGTGCAGTAAGATTAGATCTTAATTACAGGAAAAAAATTATTAAAAATTCAAACATATGGAGGCTAAACAACACGCTTCTGAATAACCAACAAATCATAGAAGAAATCAAAAAAGAAATCAAAATATGCATAGAAATGAAAGAAAATGAAAACACAACAACCCAAAACCTATGGGACACTGTAAAGGCAGTGCTAAGGGTAAGATTCATAGCATTACAGGCCTACCTCAAGAAACAAGAAAAAAGTCAAATAACTAACCTAACTCTACACCTAAAGCAACTAGAGGAGGAAGAAATGAAGAACCCCAGGGTTAGTAGAAGGAAAGAAATCTTAAAAATCAGGGCAGAAATAAATGCAAAAGAAACTAAAGAGATCATAGTAAAAATTAACAAAGCTAAAAGCTGGTTTTTTGAAAAAATAAACAAAATTGACAAACCATTAGCAAGACTCATTAAGAAACAAAGGGAGAAGAACCAAATTAACAAAATTAGAAACGAAAATGGAGAGATCACAACAGACAACACTGAAATACAAAGGATCATAAGAGACTACTTCCAGCAGCTCTATGCCAATAAAATGGACAACTTGGAAGAAATGGACAAGTTCTTAGAGAAATATAACTTTCCAAAACTGAACCAGGAAGAAATAGAAGATCTTAACACACCCATCACAAGCAAGGAAATCGAAACTGTAATCAGAAACCTTCCAGCAAACAAAAGCCCAGGACCAGATGGCTTCACAGCTGAATTCTACCAAAAATTTAGAGAAGAGCTAACACCTATCTTACTCAAACTCTTCCAGAAAATTGCAGAAGAAGGTAAACTTCCAAACTCATTCTATGAGGCCACCATCACCCTAATTCCAAAACCAGACAAAGATGCCACAAAAAAAGAAAACTACAGGCCAATATCACTGATGAACATAGATGCAAAAATCCTTAACAAAATTCTAGCAAACAGAATCCAACAACATATTAAAAAAATCATACATCATGACCAAGTGGGCTTTATCCCAGGAATGCAAGGATTCTTTAATATCCGCAAATCAATCAATGTAATACACCACATTAACAAATTGAAAGATAAAAACCATATGATTATCTCAATAGATGCAGAAAAAGCCTTTGATAAAATTCAACATCCATTTATGATTAAAACTCTCCAGAAAGCAGAAATAGAAGGAACATACCTCAACATAATAAAAGCTATATATGACAAACCCACAGCAAGCATCACCCTCAATGGTGAAAAACTGAAAGCATTTCCCCTGAAATCAGGAACAAGACAAGGGTGCCCACTCTCACCACTACTATTCAACATAGTTTTGGAAGTTTTGGCCACAGCAATCAGAGCAGAAAAAGAAGTAAAAGGAATCCAGATAGGAAAAGAAGAAGTGAAACTCTCGCTGTTTGCAGATGACATGATCCTCTACATAGAAAATCCTAAAGACTCTACCAGAAAATTACTAGAGATAATCAACGAATACAGTAAAGTTGCAGGATATAAAATTAACACACAGAAATCTCTTGCATTCCTATACACTAACAATGAGAAAACAGAAAGAGAAATTAAGGAAACAATACCATTCACCATTGCAACAAAAAGAATAAAATACTTAGGAGTATATCTACCTAAAGAAACAAAAGACCTATACATAGAAAACTATAAAACACTGATGAAAGAAATCAAAGAGGACACAAACAGATGGAGAAATATACCGTGTTCATGGATTGGAAGAATCAATATTGTCAAAATGGCTATACTACCCAAAGCGATCTACAGATTCAATGCAATCCCTATCAAACTACCAACGATATTTTTCACAGAACTAGAACGAATAATTTCACAATTTGTATGGAAATACAAAAAACCTCGAATAGCCAAAGTAATCCTGAGAAAGAAGAATGGAACTGGAGGAATCAATCTGCCTGACTTCAGACTATACTACAAAGCCACAGTCATCAAGACAGTATGGTACTGGCACAAAGACAGAAATATAGATCAATGGAACAGAATAGAAAGCCCAGAGATAAATCCACGAACCTATGGTCACCTTATCTTTGACAAAGGAGGCAAGGATATACAATGGAAAAAAGACAACCTCTTTAACAAGTGGTGCTGGGAAAACTGGTCAACCACCTGTAAAAGAATGAAACTAGAACACTTTCTAACACCATACACAAAAATAAACTCAAAATGGATTAAAGATCTAAATGTAAGACCAGAAACTATAAAACTCCTAGAGGAGAACATAGGCAAAACACTCTCCGACATAAATCACAGCAGGATCCTCTATGACCCACATCCCAGAATTTTAGAAATAAAAGCAAAAATAAACAAATGGGACCTAATGAAACTTAAAAGCTTTTGCACAACAAAGGAAACTATAAGCAAGGTGAAAAGACTGCCCTCAGATTGGGAGAAAATAATAGCAAACGAAGCAACAGACAAAGGATTAATCTCAAAAATATACAAGCAACTCCTCCAGCTCAACTCCAGAAAAATAAATGACCCAATCAAAAAATGGGCCAAAGAACTGAACAGACATTTCTCCAAGGAAGACATACAGATGGCTAACAAACACATGAAAAGATGCTCAACATCACTCATTATCAGAGAAATGCAAATCAAAACCACAATGAGGTACCATTACACACCAGTCAGGATGGCTGCTATCCAAAAGTCTACAAGCAATAAATGCTGGGGAGGGTGTGGAGAAAAGGGAACCCTCTTACACTGTTGGTGGGAATGCAAATTAGTACAGCCACTATGGAAAACAGTGTGGAGATTTCTTAAAAAGCTGGAAATAGAACTGCCATATGACCCAGCAATCCCACTTCTGGGCATACACACTGAGGAAACCAGATCTGAAAGAGACACGTGCACCCCAATGTTCATCGCAGCACTGTTTATAATAGCCAGGACATGGAAGCAACCTAGATGCCCATCAGCAGATGAATGGATGAGGAAGCTGTGGTACATATACACCATGGAATATTACTCAGCCATTAAAAAGAATTCATTTGAATCAGTTCTAATGAGATGGATGAAACTGGAGCCCATTATACAGAGCGAAGTAAGCCTGAAAGATAAAGACCATTACAGTATACTAACACATATATATGGAATTTAGAAAGATGGTAACGATAACCCTATGTGCAAAACAGAAAAAGAGACTCCTATGTATAGAACAGACTTGTGGACTCTGGGAGAAGGCGAGGGTGGGATGTTTCAAGAGAACAGCATTGAAACACGTATATTATCTAGGGTGAAACAGTTCACCAGCCCAGGTTGGGTGCATGAGACAAGTGCTCGGGCCTGGTGCACTGGGAAGACCCAGAGGGATTGGGTGGAGAGGGAGGTGGGAGGGGGGACCGGGATGGGGAATACATGTAAAAAAAAAAAAAAAAAAGATACACTATGGTTGTGATAAAAAAATAAATTAATTAATTAATTAATTAAAAAAAAAAATAAACTATAAGGTTTAGCCTATAGACACTATTTATAGATCTCCAAGACTCTTTCATAGCCGTATTACCAATCTTTGAAATAAAAGTGATAAAACTGTAAAATTTTATACAATTTTATTTACAATTCATTGTTATTTAATATTCACTAATATTATTCTATACACATCCATATTTGTAGACCCTATTAACCTGGACACCAATCTGACACTCTTTTATACAAAGTGCTCTATCACTGTTTTTCTCTCCTTTTTTTACCATACATCCTTAACTTATTCTACTCTAAAGTGGATTACACAAATATTTATAAATGTGAATTACAAGTATTTGGATTATACACATGTGAAATATATGAGCTTGTTATAAGGAAAAATAAACATTCTTCCTCAGTCATTACTTACATATAATTCACTAAATGGAAAGCTCAAAGGTTATAGTACATTGAAGGTAACTGCTACAGAGAAGTACAATTTTATAAGTTCATATTTTGATTCAAAAGTTACTTTGGTTGGCTAGATCATAAAGCTAAGTTATACCCCAGGACATTATAATTCCTTACAGTGAATAAGGAAAAGCTCTCCTATAGTACCTCAAGGGCGCTTAAACTGTCCTGTTAATGCTTATCACTGATCATTGGAAAACTGAAGAAAGCGAAGATATTTCAGTGTAGTCACTATTTTGATGAACACATTCTCTATGTGCATAATTACTCTCACTAAAGATTACATTTATAACTGAAAGATAATCAATTATGAGACACTTACCCAGTGTAAGCAGAAATTTTAGTCTTTCAGAAATATCCAAACTCTGAAATAATTTTCTTCCCTACATAAAAGATAAAAGAAATTCTTGTTAACATTTACATATTCTTCCCAGGGAGGTTTTATTTTTCATTGCTGAAAATGATTTTTCAATTATCTCTATTTCTCTTCAGAGGTTTTATTAGATTTTTTTGAATTGGCTCCTCTAAAGAAAAATCATTGGTGACATACATTTTTTTAATGTTGCATAATGCTTACCATTTAAACATTTTGTATATCTAATAATCATTACATTTTAGTTTTTTCTCAAGCATTCTTCATTTTTGAGACCCACATATATCTGGTTGTCTAGAGGGACTCCAGGAGTCTTATTTGATTAAGAGACCAAAATGTTTTATTACCCTTTCATCTACCCAGCTAATTCTTACTTATATATCATGATCCAGGTAATCTGTTGTCTCCATTAAGAAATATTCCACAACACTCCTTCCTCTTCTCAAAATGACTTAAGACAAGCATCTTTGTGTTTTCCATAGTAGCTGGTATATTCCTTTATTTTAAGATACATATGTTATATTATAGTTGTTTCCTTATGAGTTGGCTTCAGAGGGCTCCTTGAAAAAGAGTCTTGAATCAAGCACAACTTCAATGATTATGTGTCGAGCAACTATTGTGCGTCAAGCTGGACTTTCCACCATGAGTTATATACTATGGGTAAATTACTTGACCACTTTAAGCCTCACTTTTCTCATTTATAAATTGGAATATTAACTATACATGCCATGTAGGTTGTGGTGAAGGTTATATGATGTATAAAAAACTGATTAGCATTTTCTGCATAAAGAAAATGCTTCATAAATTTTGGCTATTATTATGTTTCTATTATTATAAACAAAGTAAACTTGTATGATCATTTAAAAAGACTTAGAAGGAGAAGGTGTAAGAAGACAGCTTGGTCTTTATGCAGCGAAAGAGGCTCTGATTTTCTTTTTTTTAATAGAGAAGAAAAAACTTTCTTAAAGTCTTATGAAATTAGAACTACAGGTGGAGAGATCATTGAAAACAAATTGCCCTTCCTCTCTCTCTTTTCAATCTCTTACACTACTATCAATATTAATCTTCTAGACTTAAATGTAAAACTCTTATAGAAAAACATAAGCAGAACACTCTCTGACATAAATTGAAGCAAGATCTTTTTTGATCTACCTCCTGGAGTAATGAAAAACAAAAATAAACAAAAGGGACCTAATTAAACTTAAAAGCTTTTGCACAGCAAAGGAAATCATAAACAAAATGAAAAAAAAAAACCCACAGAATGGGAGAAAATATTTGCAAATAGAAATTTCCCCAAAAAAGACACACAGATGGCCAAAAAGCACATGAAAAGATGCCAAACATCATTATTATTAGAGAAATGTAAATCAAAACTACAATGAAGTTATCACCTTACACTGGTCAGAATGACCATCATCAAAAAATCTATAAATAATAAATGCTGGAGAGGGTGTAGAGGAAAGAGAACAGTGCTACATTGTTGGTGAGAATGTAAACTGGTACAGCCTTTATGGAGAACAGTATGGAGGTTCCTTAACAACTAAAAATAGAGCTACCATATGGTTAAGTGGGTATATACCCCAGGAAAGCCATAATTTGTAAAGATACATGTACCCCAGAGCCCACTGCAGTATTACGTACAATAGCCAGGATATGGAAGCAACCTAAATGTCCACTGAAAGAGGAATGGATAAAGAAGATGTGGTACAATGAAATACAAAGAAGATATGTACAGTGAAATATTACTCAGCCATGAAAAAGAATGAAATAATGCCATCTGCAGCATCATGGATGCACCTAGAGATGGCCATACTGAGTGAAACCAAAGTCATAAATATTGTATAATATTGTTTACATGTGGAATCTAAAAAAAATGGTACAAATGAATTTATCTACAAAACAAGAGTCACAGATGTAGAAAACAACTTTATGGTTTCTGGGGGTAAGGGGAGGGAGAGATAAATTGAGATACTGGGGTTGACATATATAATACACACTACTATATATAAAACAGATAACTATTAAGGACCTACTGTATAACACAGGAAGTGCTATACAATACTCTGTAATGATCTATATGGGAAAAGTATCTAAAGAAGAGTGGATGTACGTGTATGTATAACTAATTCACTTTGATGTACCCCTGAAACTAATACAACATTGTAAAACAACTATACTCCAATAGAAATTAAATTTAAAAAGACCCACCTTTAAAAAAATTAATCTTCTAAAACTGCAAGTTTGATTTCATCTTGCTTAAAAACTTTAAATGTCCCCCCTACCTTATATAAAAATAATCCTCTCAATATGGCAGTCAAAGTCTCCTAGGATATGGCTCCTATCCATTGTACTTATTAATTTATATTTAATATCTTGTATGAAATCTAAAGGTTTGATGAGGTAAAGGAAGATTTAAACCATCCTCAACCTGGACTGGCTAAACTTTTGAGTACCTCTTAAAATGTCATGAAGCCCCTATTACGGAATTAATATTTCCTTTCTTATAATTCATGCAGTTCTTTGCGCCTATCTTCAAAGTTCATGGGATTTGCATTACATTATGGCTCTTTGACAATACATTTTAATCACAGTTTATTCCTGTTGTATTATTATACACACAGAAAATACTCATCAACATTTGTTGAACTGAATTACCTATATAAGAAATACCCAGATCATAAGTAGTTTAAATATAAGTAATGGTAATAAAAAGGAAAAGCTACATTTGTCACATTTACACTTATGTATACTTTACATTCCAAGAAAATTCTTCATTTAGGCTATGATTTTAAACAAAAATGAGATTTACTATAATTTCATACCAATGAAAAGTAAGATGGTCTAGACAAAGGATAGCAAAGAATCAGCAAGTCTGGCATTTTCCTTTACAAAAAACAATGCCAATGTATAAGCTACCAAGTTATTGTTAACATTTAAGTGTTAATTATAAAAGCTAACATTTATGTACTGTGATATAATACCCTATACTAAGCACTTTATATGTTTTTCATTTAACTTTTCCAATAGCTTTACAACATAGATATGATTATTTTTGAAAGTAGAACCAAAGCCTTAAGAAGTTACATTAGTTACCTTAAGTCACACAACTACACTTTGTTGCCTCAGATTTCAAACCAAGTTCTCTCTGACTATGAAAGCCTGTCTCTTAACTATTGTGCTTTTACTACTGCTTCTGTTGAACTGGTACACAAAACACACAAAATGAAAATAATATCATCCTAATCCTTAGATATGGTAAAGATCAATGAGTTAATATTTTCAAAAATACTTTAAAAATCCACTGGAAGACAGAACAACAGATAAGTAATAAAATTGTCTGCCCCTAAAGACCTCATTGCCCAAGAAGACAAATACAACAAATGCTAAAATAGAAGAGAGCAAAGAAAACAGAGACTAACCATGGCAGGTACTTGGAGGGAGAATCAACAAAATATTAACTGTCCCTCCAAACTCATCCTCATCTACCTATCAGGCACCTATCTATGGCCACAGGAGTAAACTGTCAAGTGGAAAGCAGAGTGGATACCTATAACTTTTACATCATTTTCTTAAAGACAGTTACCAAGAATTCACTCCTCTCCTTTTCTGATGGCTAAAAAGGAGGATAAAGCAGCATCTTTCAGAGCGATCCCTGATAGCCCAAGTTTTGGCATGACATTGTGGAACAGAGCCCACTCTTTCTGAGGACTGTTATATGAGGGAGAAAAACATCTGTGTTCTTTAGGGCATTGCATTAAAATACATCTTTATTATGATGATATTGGCATTTTAATTTTTTTGGCTGCACGCACATGGGATCTTTGTTTCCTGACCAGGGATGCAACTTGTGCCCCTTGCATTGGAAGCTCGAAGTCTTAACCAGCTGGACCACCAGGGAACTCTCTAAGCTACTGCATTTTTAATTCTTTGTTTACAATAGCTGTATAGTCTTTACTACACAAATAAATATAGAGGATATTTCAGGAAGGCCTCATAAAAAGCCAACTCTTAATAAGTGAGTCTTAATGAAAACAGAATAGGGGAGAAAAAAGGTATTTAAGGAAGAAAGAATACCATAGATGGGAGAGAGAGCATGAATATACCGAAATGTGTAAGCAGTTTTAGTGTAAATGTTTCTAAATATGCTTTTTACACTTAATATAATGTAAGTTTTTAATACTTAGTACAGGTGCAAATATTTCTAGGTACACCAAAATAATTTTTCTAATAAACACACTATTTTTATTAGTTTAATATTTCTTTATACATACCACACAGAGCTCAAATAAAATGATTCCAAGAGACCAGACATCTGATTTGGGGCCAGAAGGCAATGGTTTTTCACTTGGCACATGATCACTGGTTTTGAAAATTCCTTGCGCAATTACCTCAGGTGCCAAGTACGACGGATACCTAAAATGGTATAATTTAAGAATGAATTTATTACTATGAGCTAGAAAGGGGGAAATATGTATGTAGTGGCATGTCTTTACTATCAGTACAGTATAATCCATACAAAAGCTCAATGAGGTTAAATGAACAACTCTTGCTAGGAAGAATTCTTAAATACCATAATACAGGCCTTATGTCTAGGAATCAAGAGGAAATACACGAGTCTCAAGGAATGTTAAACCTATCTCGCCTTTAGCTCCTTTGTTTTCCTCTGTATTAACACATTGCTTTCAGACTTCCAGGTTTCCAGGTGTTTTTCCTTCTTCCTTACTGCCTATCTTCTCTTTATACTTAACTCTTATTTAAATTTTATCTTTGAAAATAGTATTTGTTCTTCTGAATAGTAGGAATGTCAAAATCTGTAAAAACATATAAATTGAAATGTAAGACTCTTTCCAATCTCTGTACACCAGTCACTCACACATATTTATGTACAAATAAAGTTGACCATTTATCATCATTGCTCTATAAGGAAGTATAGTATATGCACTATTCTGTACTCTTTTTCACTCAAAATATATTTTGGAGATCATTCTTATAAAATAAGTATAGATTGTCTCATTCTTTTTGAAAACTGTCAATAATTTCATTGCACTGATAAACTTAATTTATGTGATACAACTCTGAAGGAGGATATTTGGAAGTTGACTACTACTTAAAATGCTCACATGGATATATTACAGATATCCCACTTCCCAAAAATATATAGATGAAAGACAAATTCCTAGACATGGCACTACAAAGTCATAAGGTAGATGCATTTTAAATTTTTATATATATTGCCAAGTTGCCCTTTCAGGTTATGGCAATTTATATTCTCATAAGCAGTATATAAAACTGCCTCTTTTCCTTAACCTTCACCAATATAAGCTTTTTTCAAAAAATTGCTTTAGTAAATATGAAATACAGACTATTAAATATGAATAAGGTATAAAGGATAAAGCTTAAAAGAACACTCTTGTACCTACCAATCAGTTTAAATAATGAATATGAAATTATCACTAAAAGTCCCTATTTTTGTGTTGATAATTCTCTTCCATTTTATTTACAGTTTTACCATGTTTGTTGTAACCCTTAAAACTATTAATATGTTGTTTGAAAGTGAAAGTGAAGTCGCTCAGTCATGTCTGACTCTTTGCGACCCCACGGACTGTAGCCTACCAGGCTCCTCTGTCCATGGGATTCTCCAGGCAAGAATATTGGAGTGGGTTGCCATTTCCTTCTCCAGGGGATCTTCCTGACTCAGGGATCAACCCTGGGTCTCCTGCACTGCAGGCAGACGCTTTAACCTCTAAGCCATCCGGGAAGCCCAGTCAAGCACATATCTGAACTTTATAGTACTGGAGTTATGCTGCCATTATTCCTTTGTGATTTGCTTTCTTTAGTCAACATTATTTATTTAAAAGAGCCATTCACACTGCTGTATGTAGATTTAAGTCATTAATTTTTATGTCTGTTTTGTGAATATATTATTCATTCAAATGTCAATGATCATTTATTTCCTTTCTTTTTGTACTATAAACTATGTTGCTAGAAATAGTATGTGTATTTCTACACATAGTATGTTGTTGTGTAGCAACACTTCTAGCAAAAGTCTTCCCAGGAATATAAACCTAGCACTGAATTTCTAGGCCATAAGACATGTGCACTCTCAACTTCATAACATCACACTAAATGCTTCTTGAGAGGGGTTGTACCAATTTAAACTCCTACTAGCGGTATACAACAGATTCTATTGCTTACTTCTCCAAAACTTGTTGGACAGCAGTGACAGACTTTCTAATGTTTGGCCATCTGGGGGTGAGACTCACAAACCATTGTACAGTAGTTTTCATTTGGATTTCCTTGATAACTAAAAAGGGTGAGGCACATTTTCATAGATGAAAATTGGCACTATGATGCCATTTTACCCTTAGGTGATCACATTGCTCTTGTAAATGAATGTGTGAAATCTCTTCAGATAAGTGAAGTTTAGTGGAAAAGCAATGACCTTGATATCATAAAGCCTGTATTCTAATTCCAGTCCTATCACACATTTTATATGTGGTGACTTATGCTCCAAATTCCTTTTTAATCAAGGACATGTTAAGTTACTTAATAAAAACACTAAACATTAGGCTTATTTTTTAATATAGGTTATCTCCTTCCAACAAGTGCCTCTTCTTTAGCACTGCATTTTAACACTCAGAGAAAACTACCAGAACTCTGCCATGAGTATGATTGGTGAGATAAATATAAGTGGTTTTCACCATCTGTCTGATGTTTTAACAAGGTATTAAGCTACTGGCCAACTGAAATGAATGTCCAATTTCTAACTCATTACAGTATTTTGAAACAGATGTTAATGTTTTACTTTTTTGTTCCTTAATATTTGTCTTTTGAATCAACTGCAAGCTCCGTCTGGTGTAAATATTTTCTTTCATGACTTAGCTGTTTGATCACTTTATTTTTCCTGGCTAAGGTTTCAAATTTTGCTCTTTGATACTTTCTGGTCAGACCTTTTGCATCCAAGACTTCAAAGTAAGCTAAACCAAATGGCACATGAGACCAATTCTATCCAAGCATTTTAAATTCAAATGTAACTCTTCAAAATGTTTGATATGCTTTAAAAAAAAATCACTTCCTTTCTTCTATTCATCATTAAAACATAAAGCACCTTTAAGTAAAAGATAAAAAATTAAAGTAATTTTTGTTTGTTTTGTTTTTGGAGTTCTCACTTATATAAATTTAGACAAAATGAAGGATCACACTTACTACAGCTGCCTAAAAGCTATTTCAAAGGGTAATTATCACACATGATGAAGATACCAGAGCCTTTCTATAAATTTAATTTTATTATTTGAAAAGGCTTTCTTTTAACAAATAAAGCATAGGCTATTTTTATAAAATACTGTTTTTGTGCTTGTGAGAACAACTATTTATTGCCTACAGCCACATGGTATTCAAAACTATAAATATGAATTCATGCACATTAATAAGTAAGTCATCAAAACAGAAAATTTTCCATTAAATAATGAACTTCTTGAAGTTAGGGACCTATCTTATCCATTTTTGTATATCCAGAAGCCTTAAGAAAAGGTGTTTAATAAATATTTTCTTAATAAATAAAGGAAGGTAAACAATTTAAGATCAGCTATGTTCAAACAGAAAATTTTAAGCAAGAAACCTAGAAGTTAATTTATAGAGCCAAAAAAAATTGATAAATGAGATCATTTTTACGAACCTATTTGCAAGGCAGGAATAGAGATGCAGATACAGAGAATGGGCGTGTGGACACAGGAGACGGGGAGGGCGGGGCAAACTGGGAGAGTGGCACTGACACATATTCACGATCATGCCTAAAACAGCTAGCTAGTGGGAAGCGGCTTTACAGCACTGGGAGCCAGGTCAGTGTTTTGTGATGACCTACACGGTGGAATGGAGGTGGGAGGGAAGCTCAAAAGGGGAAGGATATATGTACACAGACAGCGGATTCACAGAGCTGTGCAGTAGAAACGAACACCGCATTGTAAAGCAATTATACTCCAATTAAAAAAAAGAAATTTAAAACATCTACTTAAGTTTTCAAGCAACATTTCCTGCAGAAACATACACCGTAACTCCAAACCACAATTTCCAATAATGGAGTGACAAAAACTGACTTTAGAGAGCCCAAAGGGCAACACACAAATGCATATCATTAAGCGTATCACACAGCAATTAAAAAATATTCTTAAGGTCTTTAAAGTATAGTATTATATCAACTTTAATTTCCTGATTTTGATAATTATTTTGTGGTTCTGAAAGAAAACTCCTTACTTCAGAAATTACAAACTGAAGTATTTAAGGGTAAAAGGCCATTATATACACGAATAATTCTTAAATAATTCAGAAAAAATTATACACAACAACACATATACATATAAGATAAAAGAAAGAGAGAAAACAAAAGTTGTGAAATGTTAACATTTGAGGACTCTAAGTAAAGGCTATATGGGAAATTTTTGTACTATTTTGTAACTTCTATGTACCTAAAATAAGGTCAAAATTAAACACTTATAAAAGTATTATATTATTAACATGTTTAAAAAGCAACCACACAATAAATATAATACAAATATCTATATTAAAAGCTTTAATTGAGTCCAGGATGAAGTAAACTTTCATTCTCTTTTTGGAGGCCAATATAAATCTGGAATTCCATATAAAGAAACTCTCCAAACTTACATACAGACTTTCAGTTATAGAATCCACCCCATTACTGATAGTTACAGTGACCTGACTTGAGGCTTAATATCCAATTATATCTTAGAGAACAGGGATTTAAATTAAAAACATCAGAGAAAAACATGAGAGTGTTTTTCTCAGTCTTTTCAGGAACACACATTATCATTTGTCAGCCTTTTTGCCTTAAATTTACCTAATTCTGAATGAAATAAAGTTAATTTTTATAATACATAGTGAAGAAATTCAATAATCTGTTAGCCTCACTACTAATTCAATGAAAAATGAATGTCAGGGAACTTTTGTATCCTGGCAAAAACTCATTGTCACCTCTTAAAAGTATATGGAGAATTAAGATATTTTTAATTTTAAAAAGGTAGTTTCATGTCAAAAATATCAAATTAACAAATATACCCTTAATAAAATATTAGAAAGTTTAAGACAGAACTAAAAAAAAAAAACCCAAAACATATTCTTACCCAATTGGGAAATCAACATCGTCACCATATGCTGTCATGTGATAAAGTCCAAATTTAGCCAATTTAACATGTCCCTACAATAACAAAGGAAGAAAAAAAATCACATAAAATATTTCCATACTACTGGCAGGGAAAATTATGATTATACATTTTATAAGTAACACTATCATATAGTCAGATACATTAAGAAAAATTATATTTTGATTTATTATAAATTTATTAAAAAAATCCTTGTGTGTTTGACATCTGCTTTATGTTCATTACAAACATATACAAACACAACATATATTATATCTATATAAGAACGACAACATTTAAAAATTGTTGCTGCTTGTATTTCCTGAGCTCCTTTAAAAAACAAAATATGTTGTTGGTTGTCTTGAATCCTTGCTTAGAATATTTTGTGTTGATTTTCACAAAAGAAATTGTTTGCAGGAATTGCAAGTCCATTTACAATGTTATGATTTTTTTAACTTGAAAGTTTTTAACTTGAAAAGGCATGTTCACAAATCAAGATATTAGTGAATCTGCTTTATTCCCAACAATTTTTATACTGTTTTAGAATAATCATAAATACCACAAAAGTAAGATTCTTAAAAGGCAAATGCACATTGTATAAATCTCTTAAGTTTTTCCCTTTTTAGATGTTTAGAACTTAAATTTTTTTTCAGTTTAGAAGTTCTTTTGCTTAAGAGCTGTATTTCCCAGAATTACAAAACATTTATATTTTAAAAACAATTTCAATTAGTTACTCTACTATCTTAACTATGAAATTATAAGCACCATTTTATCTTTATTTTTAACATCATAGAGCATATACTGAAAGTCTAGAAGAAAAAGAAAAATCCTACTGATACAAAAAATAATTCCCCAGAAAAAGTTTCCTCAAATTATTTTATATGCTTATGAAAAAATAATAAAATTCTTGAAAAAATCCCCTTGCTACTCATAATTCACATAATACCCACCATAGTAGACTAGCTTCTTATTTAATCCCCCATAAGAATCCAAGCAGAGAATTAGCACTCCAATTTAAAAACCAAGCTACATAAAAACAGCTGGTAAACAAAGAAAATAAGTGACAAAGGAAAAAAGAAAGTAGAAAAGAAGAATAAAATGGAGAAAACACAATTCAGCTGTACTATGAGAAAAATATTCTATGTAAATAGTCAGAGAATCTTTTTTAAGATAAAAGCAAATTCACAGAAAGAGTGGACTGGGGAGTCTCAATGTGTATTTCACAAAATGAGTGAAAGGAAAAATAAAACATGAAGGCAGAAAAAGAGTCCAGGGAAAAAAGAATAGTGCATGTAAAAGACACATGGATTTATATAATTAGAGATACTTTCTTTTTAAACAACCACAAGTACATTACTTTCATATAATCTTTTCATTACGAATACTCTTAAGACAGTCTAATTCTTTCAGCAGGCTACAACCTGAAATAAAAAAACCAAATATTTACTGTACTATTGATGATTACCTTTTGATCCAAAACGATATTATGAGGAGACAGTGCCCGGTGTACTATACCATGTTTATTCATATACTGCAAGCCCTGAAGTACCTCAAATGCTATGCACAAAACCTTTGAATAGCTACAAAGAAAACAAAAAGTCACAGATCAATAGATCAATTACAAAGCAGATATAGAACTGGTTTTTTTTTTTTAGAACCTGTTTTAAGAAATAAAATGAGGTTCAATGATAAAATTCAAAGATCTACCTATATATACATATATATATATATATATATATATATATTTTTTTTTTTTTTTGACTGTGAAGCTTGTGGGATTTTAGTTCCCATTCCCCAACCTGGGCAGGCCCTCAGCAGGGAAAACATGGAGTACCTGGACTGCCAGGGAATTTCCCAAAGGGTTTTCTTTTCATTGCACCGCCTCTAATCAGAGAAAATAGACTCTATACATTTTCTAAAATATTTACTCAGGCATATTTGATTTTACAATTACAGCAGAATTGATCTTACAAAGAACCTATAGTTTCCACTACTTCAACTGCAGTCCCGTTCTCCAGGAAGGGAGATTAATATTGGCAGGGTGCAAATGACCTTTTGCAGGTTGGGCTTTAACAAATTATCAGGAAATTTCAGATATATGGCAGAACCAAATCAATGAAAGCCATGGATTCTGGTCAAGACAAAAACACCTATGTCCCTGAAAAACAGCTATATTTTACGGCAGAGACACGAGCTTACTTTCCATATCAATCTGCAAGGCAATGTCCAGAAATTTATGATTTATCAAATATTTCTTTCTTATCCTATGCTCTCTTAAGCCAACTTCCATAGGGATACCCAGTTTCTTTCTCTCTCTCTCTCCCCTTCCCTCTCCCTGTCCTTTTTTTTTTTTTTTAAATAAAACATCACTCATATAGGAAGTTAGGGAGAATATACAGAGAAGTAGGGGAGACTAGTTCAAACCCAATCCCCAAAATCACTAATATTAGGGTATAGATTTGTTTTATTCTCATTTTTTTAACATTTTAAATCATACTTTAAAAAGTCAAATTAATATCTGAGTAACTACTAAATTAATTTTTAAAAGGTATAAATAAAAAGCTAATAATAGAGACATATGAAATAATTTTAAAAATAGTTCATCTAAAAGCAGGTAGAATAAAAGAGAAAAGAACAAAGAACAAATGTAACAATTAGGGGAAAAACATCAAAAACACAATGAAGCTACTGTGTATGCAGTAGAGTGAGCAAAGGGTAGGGCTGATAGCAGATGAGGTCACAGGTAGCAAGGTCAGAGGGTTAGATCACTTTAGGCCATTTAGGTCTTTGGTTTTTACTCTGAGACAGATGGGAAGTGATTGGGACGCCACTATACTACATACAGGAAAAATTCGCAGTAGAACTAAGCAGAAAAGGAAATAAAAACTTAAGCCAACTTAACCCCTAGCTCTCAAGAGATATCTCATCATGAGGATTAATAGATGCTATAATTTTATAATTATAACTCTAGATGCTATCATTTTATAATTATAACTCTATTCATTAAGATTATCATCAGCTACCACCATTTTTATACCTCATTTTTGTGTTTTTTTCTTTAGCTAGAATACACTCATAAGAAAATTTTTCATAAGGGTGGCAGGAGTAGATATTTTAAAGCATGGCATGTCTTAAAATGTCTTACTATTGTATTTAAACATAGAATTTCTCCTTGTCTTCAAATGTTCTTTATTGATAGTGATAAATGTAATATCAGTCTGATCTTAGTTCTGTTGTAGATACCTTGTTATTTCTCTCTGGAAGCTTTCAGGATTCTTTTACACTTCATATTCTTAGACCTATAAAAAATTTAGTCCAATATGTCCAGTGTGTGGGCATTTGAGAATTTGTGTTTGTAAGTATTAGGTGTGCCCTTTCAATCTAAAAATTCATGTTCCATCAAGACAAAAACATTAACAAGGAAAAGTTGATTTGTTGTACCTTTGATTATTTTCTCCCTCTACTGTATCTTTTAGTCAGAACTCTTAGGGGGCAGATGAAAATAAGATTTATTCTATCAACTTGATGTTTTATTTCCTATGAGCATGGCCTATTATTTAATTTCCAAGATTTCTCTTCTGGTCTCTAGTCGTTCCTTTTCAGTACATCCCGTTCTTTGGCTATGAATTTATTATTCTTTTGAGTCTCTCTGAGGGAAATTATTAGAATTATTTTTAATTTAGGAAACAAAAAAGCATGTTTATCTTCATTTCCTCTGGGCTAAGTTTTTAAAAAAATTTTTTCTCCCTCGGCTCTCCTTCCCTCAAACTATTTCTTCCCTGGTATGTCTGGTAGGTTCCAGTTGTCAACCTATTTTAGAATAAAGCAATAAGTTGATATTCTACATGAAGTATGTAAAAAATAAAACAATATAATTTACTATTTATAAAGAATGCTTATTAAACTGATCTATAAACTATTTCAATTTATCAAATAGTTCCTCCCATATTAAAGCACCACAACAGCCAGTATTAAGCAATAAGGAATCTGTGGCACAAGAACAATTTAGAAGTAATAATTTTCATTAACATCTGCAAAAAACAAAAACAAAAACCAACTACAAAAATGAAAAGATTCCAAACTTTAAAACAACTACAATAATATTGATAAAAATGTGCACAGGAAAGAATGCAAACCCCTCCCCTGTTAAAAACAAAGGAAAATTTTCCTTGAGGTTGATTAACAAATAAAACATAGGAACAGAGTTTCCTGTGATCATTTGTTCTGAGTCAGCTTTCAGGTAGTAATCTCTCATCTTTGTTCTTTCTGTATCTCTCTGTCTCTCTCTCTCGCTCACACACATACATACACACCTAATGCTTCACAAAATCTTAAAAGCTGATGCCATATTCAGCTGCGACACTAGAGGACCTCAGTTACACACTATTTCAATACAGATGACTTTCTCATGAGATTGAAACCAAATCTTTAAAATGACTTTTTTATTAAACCAGTTCTGAAACAGCTGAAAACAGAAGACTACATCTTCTACTTAATCTACCTGCTTTTTAGCTGATTCTAAGATATAACTGGAAAACACCTGCATGTCAAATAGCATTCATGCTATTACTGAGCTGATAAGCATTTACAACTGACACAATTTTAAAGTATGAATTATAAAGCTGAAGCTCATGACACATCTTTTCTTAACTGTTACTAAAGACTATACATGAATTACGGTTAATGGAACCAGTATTCTTCAGTTTAAATCAGACAGGAAATCAGATTTGCTCTTCTGCCTGTTGTACTCTTATGATTTAATTTTTAAATTTATTTTAAAATATAAATATAAAAGAGAATAAGAAGCTTATGCTTTTTTCTATAGTGGGAAGAAGAAATCAATGCTTGTGAAATTTTGTACACTTACTTGTTTTTAAAGTTGTATTTAACACTGCCAAGAACTTAAATTAAGAAATGCTTTTAAAACTTATTTTGAAGTAGCCAGTATAATGCAACAACAAGGCAAAACATCATACATTCAATAACAATATGTTACAGTTTAATTGAAAATGGACTACAGAAGGAGAGTTAGGATAAAGAGAATGGGACTTGTACCATTTTTTAATGATAACAGGACTTTATTCTACACATTTTCTAAGTTTGAACCTTGTTAATAAAGAAATCTATCACTAACCTGGAAAACATAAATTAAATCAGGTCAGAAAATATTCTCTTCCTTTTGAAATTACTAATTATTAGCTATGGGGAGACTGGGAGGGTGAACATTTACTTTGTTACCATTGTCTCTGACAATCTGAAAAGTTTTAATGAGCATAACAATCCTTGGTTGTTATAAACACATAGATATGACTAAAGACAGCTTTAAAATAATGATTGATAATTTCTGATTAAGCAAGATGACATTTTGAGATACTTTTATTTACATTCAAGTACATCAATTAAGTGGCTATTATCTGCTTGGCATTATGATTTTAGGCCTCTGCATTTTTAGGCTCCATGAACACCAAGAATAAAAACTGATTTTCCATAATCAAAAAACCCACAGTATAGTTAAAAAGACAGATTTAAAAACTGACAATTTTAACATAGTTGAATTCAACAGAATTTTGATACAGTTGGAATTCAATGATAAGTTAGGAGATGATAATTAATCATCCTTTTCCTTGGTCTTGAGAGGAAAAGAAAACAGAAAAATTTATTTATTACACTGGTTAGAACAAAATGACCTATAAAATCGTAAATTTTGGGAAAGGAAGATTAAAAACTAAAAGAGAGAAAAACATGACTACCATCACCACCACTACCATCAAGAACAAATGTTGATAATTTCTAGGCATGAGTCAACTTGGGTGTATTTGGATTTTAAATATGGCTTAATGAATTTCAAATCTATTAAGTTAGTACAATACAAAGTATGTTTTGTTTATCCCTTTCCAGATGTATTTCAAAGGGAATTTATACTGTGCTCTTCTGAGACAATCTGTAAATTATCTGCAGCTGTTTAGCTTAGTTGGTTAAAATATACTGAGGCCAAGACCATGCGTTTAGAATCCATAAGGATTAGTTAGCTTCACATGTGTATAGCCACGGATTTTCATCTAACTGCAGCCAATATCCTGAAATACAGATAGTTTGTCAAGAGACATTGCTCAATGGCTACTTGCTCAAAAGTCTTGATTTTCAACTAGAATCTTCTATTTCTCTGTTCCCCATTCCTGAGGACCTGCTCTCTAATCTCATTCAGACCTTGAGGTCCCTTCTCTCTAAGCCTCTGCTGTTATCTCAACCACTCTTTTCTGGACATCTTTCTTCATTCTAGATCTATTCTGTAACTTCAACAACTTCTTTCCTTTGGCCAGGACCTTAATGGCTTCTCATTCGATGGCTCTGCCCTGGCAGAACTGCACACCTCTATACTCTGCAACTGTGCATAGCTGCAAGGCTTATTCATTCTATGGTAATAGTTTCCGTTTATGTTTGTCTCTCTCGCTGTACCTCGAGGCAGTGGTACCTTGAGTACACTGAAGCTTATTCACCTTGGAATCCCTATGCCTATCACAGTGTCTATAGGGAACGTGCTCAATAAACGTGTATCAAATAATAGGTGTTTCATAGATGT